GCCGAGGGCCCTAGTAGAGACATCGATGGGGAAACATTGCCTCTGCAGCCAAGTGTCCGGCCGTGGGCCAGGTGCTGGTGGCCAGGGGTCAGCAAGAAGACCTGGACGCAGTGCGGAGGACAGCAAGGACAAGCGGGAGCCTGCTGGCCTGTCTGCACAGTCTGTTGCCACATCTAACGACAGCGACCTTGCAAGAGAAGAGACGGCTGCTTCCCTTCCGCCTTCTAAATCTCGCACAAGTTCCTCTTTTGGTCAATTTTAAGTCGGAACCGTTGGTGGAAAGGGATTCTGGGAAATGTAGTTCCAGCCTCACCATGTCGCCGGTACGGATTACAGACCACCCTGCTTTACTGGCTGGGTGGATTCTGCTCTCTACGACTGACCTGACTGACAGAGACTTTGGACAGTTCTGCAGTGGGCACCATCAACGTTTTTGTCAGCCCAAAAGCTTTCCTTAGGACAATCTCCCGCCTTAGTAATCTGTACCAGAAGCAGCCTGAATCTCACTTTCCCAGCCTCCCTTGCAGTTAGGCTGTAAGCATGTGACCTAGGCTCAACCAATCAGATAGACCCAGATGGTACCCAGGCGCAGCCAGTCAAATACATCCAGATGGAGCCTGGGCTCAGCCAGTCAGACACACCCACATGTGAAAGCAATGGAAGTGGATTGTGGTGTGTGGAATCTAATCTAGCAGCGAGGCAGAAGGGACGTGCCCGATGTCATTGGTGAGAGCGGCGGTGTCTGGGCCGGGTGGCAGTGATGGGAAGGCCCTGCACTGTAATTTGGACGTTGTTCGTGGCCGTGTGGTCTCCTAGCCAGTGTCTCTGGCCCTCCCTCCTGGAGATCTGTGAGTCACTTGATATCCTTTAATAAACTCCTTTTCTGCCTAAATGAGCTAGAATGGATTCTGTTCTTTGCAACTAAAGCCCTGACCGCCTCTAAATTCATGTAACCCTCCAGTCTGGGTTTCCCAAGCCTTAGAACGACACCCGACCGGGGCCGCGACGCACGGGCAGTGTGAGCTGATGGGTCACTGCACTGGCTTGGGAATCAGGCGGTCTAGCTTGAATCCTGGCCCTGGCACAGACCTGTGAGTGCCCTTGGGCAAGTCACTTTCCTCGACTGGAGAATGCGACTGATCAGTGCCTGCCCCGTGGAGTTATCACAAAGACCAAAGACTGCAGCATGGAAATCCCTCAGCACGGAGCTCAGCATGTGCAAGGCGCCCACACCAGTGGCACTGGAAGGAATATGGGTAACCTTTGTTTTGACAGATTAAAGAAAATGCGTATTAATATAGGTGGTGTCCTGATGTACCTGCTAGGAAGGTGGTCGATGAATGTTTAGGTTTGGAAAAAAAATTTTTTTTTTTTGAGGAAGATTAGCCCTGAGCTAAAATCTGCCGCCAATCCTCCTCTTTTTGCTGAGGAAGACTGGCCCTGAGCTGACATCCATGCCCATCTTCCTCTACTTTATATGTGGGATGCCTGCCACAGCATGGCTTGACAAGCGGTGCCATCTCCACACCCGGGATCCGAACCGGCGAACCCCAGGCCACCGAAGCAGAACGTGCACACTTAACCGCTGCGCCACCAGGCTAGCCCTGGAAAAATTTTTATGTTCAAAACATAACTCTGATTAATGCCACTAAATTAATTGTACACTTAAAAATGGTTAATAGGGCAAATTTTCTGTTATATATATTTTATCACAGTTTTTTAAAAAGTTAATAATGTAATATACCAAAAACCACTGAATGATATTAAATGGGTGGGTTGTATGGTATGTGAATTATAGCTCAATAAAGCTGTTGACAAAACTACCCACCATGTCCTTTGAAGCACAGTGCGACCCCTCTCTCCCTCTGATCTCATCAGCTCCCCACGCCACCCCCAGCCCTGCATCGCTCCATCCTGCCTCACTGGCCCTGCCTCCTCCCCCGGAGCACGCAGGCCCCACCTCTGCTCTCCTCCTGCCCAGGATCTTCTTCCAGCCAGGTTCGTGGCTCTGAACTCAGCTGCCCATTAGGTCACCTGGGGAGCTTTAAAAAGTACCGACACCCATGCCCCACCCCGGACAGTCGGGCGGCATTATTCAGGGAGCGGGCTGGCATCTGGGCACTTTTGGCTTGTTGTTTCATATCTTCTCAAGTGCTTCTAATGTTCAGCCACTGTTAAAAACCGCTAACCCAGGGGGCTGGCCCCGTGGCCGAGTGGTTAAGTTCGCGCGCTCTGCTGCAGGCGGCCCAGTGTTTCGTTGGTTCGAATCCTGGGCGTGGACATGGCACTGCTCATCAGGCCACGCTGAGGCAGCGTCCCACATGCCACAACTAGAAGGACCCACAACGAAGATTGTACAACTATGTACCGGGGGGCTTTGGGGAGAAAAAGGGAAAATAATCGCTAACCCAGACATCACGGCTCAGTCCCCACCTCCTTCCTGCTGCTGCTCAAAGACCAGCTCCTCGGAGAGCCTGTCCGCAGTCCCACAGCTGCTTCCCCTCCAGACCCTGCTGGTTGACCTTCAACATGTCTGTCCCGCCCGGGATTCTATTATATGCATATTGGACTCGTTCCCAAATGTCAGATCAGTGAGGACAGAGGCCGAGATTGTTGTGTTCGGCGCTGTGTCCCCCGTGCTTGGCTCATACATTGTGCTCAGGAAGTCGCCTGAACGCCAGCCTCGGCCCACCTTCTCCCTGTGGCCCATGGTCCGGCTCCGGCTCTGGGGGCTGCAGTTCTGCTGGAGGCCACCAGGTGGCGAGAGTGCCTGCTGCATCGAAGGTCTCAGGGCCAGCCTGATGCAGGGCCATTGCTGAAAGAGCAAGGACCGTGGCCCCTTCCGCAGGGTTGCCAAACCCCAGGGTGTCCCCCTCTTCTCCTCATTCAGAGGTTCCGAGTCATTGAGCATCTGACGACCCTGGACCCAGACCAAAGTCAGAGGGCAAAGGCCCTGCAGCCCTGTCTGGAACCCCCAAGTCCTTCTCTTTTCTAGCCACTCATTGACTGACTCTGGTGCAGCCACTTGGGATGACTCCCGCAGGTCCCCTCACATGGCTCGTGACTCACCCCCAAGCGCAGGTCGGTCTGCCCTGGCCAGTGTTTGCAGACGATCTGGACATGTCAACTGGGGGCTGGGACATGAACCGTCCTCTCCCGTGTCACAGGATCGCACACCTGCTAAGAGGAACGAGGCAGCGCTGGACGGGTACCAACATGGCCATACCCCAGGCTTCAGGGCAATTAAAAAGGGGACAGAAGTGTGTGTGATCAAATGCTGCCATTTATGTATAAACACGGCAGGAAAACTTGCTGTCTGCATTGGTCTGTGTGTGCAGTGACTCAGGGACACACAGGAAGGGACCCGAGAGGACCAGGGAGGACTTCACACTGGGGGCGCCTCGTATCTTTCACATTCCAGGCACGTGACTGTATTACCTAGTCAAATAAGAAGGAGAAGTAAAACTCAACGTTTTTTTAAAAGCAGCTACTTCTCTACCTGTCAGCCGCATCCTTCTCAGGTCTTTTCTTCTCTGGGAGCGGGGCTGCGGCTGGGGGCCGGGACACTCAAGGTGAGCAAGGCTCAGGGGCTGCCCCCCCACTTAGGGGTCGTGTGACCTTCATCATTGGCTCTTCCAAGCCGAGGACATGGCAGTGGAGAGCTGTCCCCTCCCACAGCTCACATTCGAGTAGGACAGACACACACACACGAGATAAAGTCATAAATACGTACAGACTTTGCTCAGGAACATGAAGGAAACTAGGAAGAGGATGAGAGAGAGGATAAGGGTGAGGGGTGGCGACTTCAGAGGTGACATCTGAAAGAACCCGAAGAATAAGCCGCCAGCCCCGGACGGGGGTACCAGGCCAAGGAAACAGCCTCTAGCGGCCTGGAGACGGGCAGGGGTCTGGCTGGCTGGAGCAGAAGGATGACAATGAGGTGACCGTACCTTCCCTCTCGCAGCCTCGCCCTCGTCTCCTAAAATGGGGCTGTGGCGCCGCCCCCTCTGTGGTCTTCAGGATAAAATGAGGTAATGCAGGGAGGGCGCACCTGCATGCCCAAAAAAAGGAAGCTAGACACTGTTTTAACTTAAAAGATGACAATGCCCCACCTACTGGAAAGAGCACTTACATAGGAGTCCAGTTAGACTCCTTCAGTGGCTCTGTGGCCTTGAGCTAGTCACTTTTGGGGCCTGTTTCTACAACAGCCAATGGGAGGTCACATCAGGGTAGTGAGTAGCCCTTTCTGGCTTGGCTCACACCCCAGGTCACGGGGAGATTGCAGCCCACCATGAGAATGCCTCAGACCACTGCCCTTCTCCACCTCACTCCTCTAGGCCACCCAGCCTCCTTGCTCCTCGTTGACATGTGAAGCTCACAGTACCCCAGGGCCCTTGCACTTGCTGGTCACTGTCTGGATCGCTCACCTACTTTATCTTCCCACATCCAGCTCTTCCTTCAGGTCTCAGGTCAAATGTCCCTTCCCAAGAGAGGGCCCTGGCATAGTCCCAGCTAGGGTAGCCGCCTTCACCCTTGGTCCTGTTCTAAACCATCCCTGTTTTGTTCCTTTCATAGCACTGGTCAGCAAATGGCCTGCTAGCTAAATCCAGCCCATCCCCTGCTTTTGTACGACGCATGAGCTGAGAACAGTGTTTCATTCTAAACGGTTGGAAAAATTCAAAATAATATTTTGTGACACATGAAAATTAAGTGGCCATCTGCCTGGGCCAAGGTCACGCACTGCCCATTCAACTGAGCTCTGGCCTCCATCTTGGCCATGAAGAGACAATTCACTCCCCTCCCCGTTCGCCTAAGACTCAGCCAGGACTTCCCTTCTGTTTCACGTCTGTCAACAACGGCCAAGGAACTGGACGTCCCAGGAAAGCGCCCACTTGTGGAGATGCCCTCACCTCTCGTGGCCCCGGCCCTGTGTTTAGTCGTGCACACCTGGCACGGCCATCCCAACCAAATGGAAAACTGTACATTTGAGGACGACCAAGCCATTTTTCCAAAACAGTTTAATTAAAAAAAGGTGAAGAATCTGAAAAAACCGAGGGGAAGGGGAGGAACCCAAAAGAGCACACCGTGTGAGTCCACTGGCTCAGTCACAAAGAAAGACCATCATCAAAAAAGATATTTAAGTTTAATACAAATTTTATACAAAGAAAATGTGAAAAAATACTTCCATATGCTAAAAGCAATTATGCTTCACAAATAAGGCCAGCTAGGCTATTTTTTTTTTTTTGACAACTGCAATTCACAAATGTTCTTTCTCTCCTGTTTTCTTCTAATACGCTCTTTTTATTTCTTCTCTAATATGGATAACTAGCTGGACACTGTACAGACCGCATCCTCGTTATCAACAATGAAGAGAAAGTAAACGAGACTAAAATGTACAACCGAATGTACTGGAATGATATCGTACAATTAATTTTCTCATATACATACATCACCTTTGTGTTTGCTCAATGCTTTTTGTTTTACACAACATACAAAATGGGACTACAGCATACGTAGTGTAACAGACAGCATGGCGGGGTCTGGCCTTCTCTCGCACTGCCTTTGTTCATGCTTCCATAAAAACGTCAAATTCCATCACATAAATAATACATACATGCTTCATCCCAGACTCAAACGTCCTCTGCGTGCGTCTTGCCTTTGGGTTCCTGCTCCCGAAAAGCAGAGCGTCTCTTCTTACCAAGTGTGTGTGAGTGTGTTTAAAGGAACCAGAAAGCAAAGAAAAGGTCGCTCTTTGTTTCAAAGCTGATGACTCTAACAGTCTCTCTGTTCTTCTCTTCTGCGACTGAGCTGAGCGGGGCTTGTTTCTGTCTGTCTTCTGTAAACAAGGACATCATTTTTTCCCTTTTAGGAGTAGAGTCATCATTGAAATCACACAAAATAAACCAGCCTCTCCCTGTGTCCTTCGGGTCCAGAGAGCTTGCATTTCCTAACATCATAACAGAGTATCTGAAAGGGGCCGATGGCTTGATGTGACGTGCCCACGACGGCACAGAATCTGCACCACAACTCCTGATCCCAACGTGCTGCGCACAGACAGACGAGTGACAAGGGCTCACTTTCCCCCGGGGCAGCCAGGGAGGAGGACCTGTGTGCCACAGTGATCCCAGGGCCCCGTCTCCACACCACCGCGTGACGCAGGGGCTGCCTGACCATCCCTTCTCCAACACCAAAACATTCTTTTTGTTATTGGGGGTTTTTTTAATTGTTTTTCTTTTTTCTTTTTTATAAGTTAAAGTCAATACAAATATAAAAAGGGGAAAGTACTCTAGGTTCAAGGACATCCACAGATTGTACATTATTTACATCTAAAGCATAGGTTTCGTGTGGGTCCAGCAGTCCTCAGTCAAGGCTAATGCTGAACGCTGTGTAGTGTAGGCCGCCCTATGTGCAGGTGCCAAGGCCCAGTCCGAAGGCTGGGAATTCTCGAGTCTGAAGGTGGTGGTTCTGTCTCACATTTCTTTGCTGTTTCCTGTTTTCCTGGTGTCTGGTTTTTTTCCTTCAAGGGGTGGGTGGCTTGTGTCGCAATTTGTCCCTAGTCCCAGAAGGTATCCAGCCGAGACTCTTTTGGGAGAAGACTCTTCGAGCTGGTACTGGCGTTGTGCTCAGAACGCGACGAGCCTCGCTTCTCGTCGCTGCTGCTCCAGCAACTGGATTTACTGCTCCGGGAATGGTCTGGGGGGAGAAAACAGAAAGGCATGTCAGCACCCCTGCTCGCTTCCACCGAGGGGAACTGCCCCACCCTGTGACCCGCATCTCCTACCCGGGAAGCCACCCTCCCCTCCCCATTCCACACGACACTGATGCCTAAAATACCGCCACCAGAGACGTCCTTAAATTTGTGGGTCTGCAGAATACAGAGGTAGAACAACTTAATTTTCGAGGGTTTAACAACAGCTGATTGGAAAAATTGGGGTCACGCTCACAGAGAACAAAGATTAGTGAGAAAGGTACTAAATTGCCAAGGAAGGCATTTCTGTGTGGCACCGGGAACTGTAAGCCCTTATTACGTGGCTGAACGACACCAAGATCCCATGCACTTGTAGCCAAACCTTGGCCACTGGAAAAAGGCACCAAAATTTGGCATTCGATCCACTTACTTGTACTAACAGAGTTTCTTTAATCATTAAATTTATAGGCAACTCAACAAACAGGCTTATAACCAAACCACCCAAGGGAGTGGATATAGAAGAGAAGAAATGTAGACGAGAACGGTCAAGTCCAGCTGGGAACGCAGACCCACTGGCTCCCAGGAAAAACAAGGTGAAGGGTCACTGAAGGAGGCAGAACCAGAGTAAGACCGAAGAGAGCTCCAAGGACGTGTGTACCACAAGCAGCTTAACACAGGCTGAGTGAGCAACGAGGAAGGTGATGGAAAAGCCGAAGGAGCCATCTGTGCAAGCGAAGCAGCTCAGGCCGCAGCCGCAGCTGGACGTCCAGGTCGACCGCGAGACCCGTCAGCAAACAAGTAAGACCATCGCAGCTGAGATCCTTTCCCACGTGTGGACAGAGTGGGGCAAAACTTTCTTCTGCAATGTCTTGAGGTGGGGTGATAATACGTGACTGAGAGAAACCGACTGGCAAGCTTACAGACAGAGTCAGAGGGAGGGAGGAAAGGACCGCGTCCTCGCCCGGGACGACGTTTCTTATCGCCCCGTAAAAAGGGCCACGTGTGTTTGGCCATGCGTTCTGTTTCTGGAAGATAAGCAGGGAAGAGAATGATAAGGATCTCCACAGTGCTGTAGTCAACTCAGGGCACAGCGCTTTGGAATCACACGCATCAGTGACCGAAAGGAGGCGGGATTCGGGTGGGCAGAGCTGGGGTCAAGGGCCGAGTCTTCCTGACAGCCCTGAATCCACCTCTTCCACGCCTCCTTCCCTGTTTGTGATGCCGACACCGTGAGTTCTTCCGGAAGGTCTTTGGGCAGTGGTGTAAGTCGGTCACCACCATACATGAGAAAATCCTACGACAATGGCGTCAAGCCACATCAAGTCCCCCCTGCTCGCCCGGCTCCGGTGAAAGCAGAGAGCGGCTGGGGCACCAGAAGAAATGGGAGCAGGGCTGAGCTTAGCACAGAGCCTGCATCACAGAGCCAGGCTGCGTCTGAGAGCCCAGCTCCTCACAGAAAGAGGACACAGGGTGCTTGGCTGGTGTGGCCAGTGACTTTGGGGCAGGCTCGGTGTTAACCTAGAACCCTTTAGGAAAAGAGCGAGAATGATCCCCTCCAGAAGCCACACTACACGCTTGGCTCTCTCAGTTCCCACTGCAGTTTCCGACGGCCACAGAGGCACAGCTAAGAGATGCTGCAAGGAAAGGCAAGACCATCACTCAAGAGAACAGGAGAAGACATGCCCACAAAGAAAACACACACACACACACACACACAAGCCTTCTGCATGCCAGGAAAAATTCCCCGGCAGCTTCCATGAGACAGGGTCATACTTACACTTCTGGGCGGGGTAGGTGGGGTGCAGCTGGTGGTCTGTGGTGGTTGGGGCATAGGCAGGCTGCTTGTCACACCTTTTGCTAACTGAAGAGATAGCACAGGTAGCCTCAGAGTGTGTCAGAGAGCTCAACCCCAAGTGCTCCCTATTCTGCTCCTCGATAGGCTACTGTCCTCAGACCTGGGGGCTGCTTCCTGAGTCACCATTCTCCAACGTAACGCATTCACGGGAGGCTCAGGCTTGTCAAAGGCCTGCTGAACCATGAGCTGGATAACTGGACGCAGCCCAGCATTACAGGTGGGAAAGGAGGTACATAATGACATAAAAGCAACGTTGTAAGGCTCTACGTCTCAGAATCTTGAAAGCAAAACCCTCAGAACCACTAGAGCTGCCCAGAGCCTAACTGAGCCAGGGCACAGAGGTGCCAGCACCACAGCAAGGCGGGAGGCAGCGCCCAGGAGTCCAGACTCCTCGGGGCACCGTCTGCTGCCAAGGACAGCGAGGGGAGGGCGGTGTGCCTGCGGTGAGGCGGACTGAGGACGGGGCTACAGACGAGACACCAAGTGGGCCACACCCTCAGCTACAATGGTAGGTCACCCACAAATGATATCTGACATTGAAGAGTCAAAATCAGTGAGAGGAAAGGAGTCTCAAAATAACTGATATGGTGAAGAGTTTGGTAGAAAAGGAAGGGAAGATATGATAAAGCAAAAAACAGAGACAGTCCAGGAAAAAGGAAAGCTGGACAAGAATGGACATGCAACCACAGTACACTCACTATTTGACTCTGCAACAAACGGCATGATCATAATGATGGAAACACGGATTATCGCATTTCACTGTCTTAGACTCGGCCGACAGCCGAAAGCGAGCAGAGTCAACTGCACTTAGAGAAAAGAACGCACGTGTTCTCAGCCTCGATGATGGGAAGTCAGAGCAGAGAAGGTGGAAAGTCTGGATACGACGGGGTCGAAGCGGGGAGGAGGAGACGGGCTGCCAAGAGATGCTGTCTCTAGCCGACAGAACAAGAACCACAGAGAGTTTTATTTGACCAAGGTAAGGCAGAGAACACAAAATAGTGACAAGAGTAGTTTGGAAGGAGAGGGAGAAAAAAAGTCATAAATGACCTCAACGCTCATCTTTTAAAGTGAGAAGTCAACAAGCAACGTCTAAAGATAAAGTCCAGAAACAGAAGTATAGGGAAGCACATTATTTATAAAGAAGGAGATAAGTACCAGACGCACAAGGCAGCGGTGAAGGTTGGGACCAGACACTGGTATTCCCTGTGCGATTTTATTTTCTCTAACTATACGCATGCATTGCTTTGATTAAAGTGAGAAGACAGGCAAACAGGAGAGGCCCACGCGCCCCCAGGGAGGACGCTCAGACCCCCACCAAACCTTTCTCCCTCCCAGCTAGACTCCCCGTCTGACCATCCTCGGACCAGGGGCATACGAGGAGCTCGCTTAGAAACCTCAATGTTTTGTGAAGCCCCCTTCCCCCCAGGAGATTTTATCTGCATTGTCACCAAACAGCAACAGCTGGCAGAAGTCAGGTCAGATGTACGAGGGATTGGGAGAGGACCGAAAACAAGTCCGTCTTTCTGCTTTGGCACAAGCGTCAGCACGAACTGCTCTGAGGAGAAAACAGCTGTCCTGCCCGGGCCCACGGACTCCTGCGCGCCTCCCTGCTGCTCGGACCCAGCGGCCACAGCGCCTGAACTCGGTGCAGTTTCTGCCAAGGAGCTGCCTGGCGCTCCCACCTCCCTGAGGCGCCTTCTGTCCCGCCTCCTCCAACGTCCTAACTGCAGACATCTCCTTAACTGTAGTCCCGGTTCCACCTCTTTCTTTCCCCAAGACCCGTAGAGAGGGACCCTTCCGATGTGGAAATTCTGTGACTCTAACCGATCCGAGCTTCTTTGTCAGACAAGGTCTCAAAACGACCTTTAGAATTTAAAATGTCCTTGCTTGTCAATGACTCAGGGCTCAATGGTGACCATGGTAAAAGACTTTCAGGTGGCGTATTGAAACAGAAAGCATGTTGCAGGAGCGGGTGAGAAGGGGAAATGGAGGCAAGATGGAAGGACAGCTCGTAAGGAGACGCCTAAGTGGGCGGGGGAAGTCGACAGGACAGGTCTTCCCACGTGCTGCTCAGTATGGTACCACCAGCTACAATGTTGCTATTTAAAGTTCAAGTCAAACAAAATGTTCAATTCCACTCCTCAGTCACACTGGCCACAGTTTAAGGGTCCAACAGCCACTGGTGCTCACAGCTACCATAGCAGACAACGCCGGCACACAGCAGCGCCAGCATCACAGACCCTTCTGGGGAGGATGCAGGGTGTCAAGGGAGAAACCCGGAGACACAGGGGGACGTTCAAATGCCCAGGGAAGGAAGCAGCTAAGAGCAGGAATTCAGGCCCTGACCAACAACAGGGAGGAAAGGAGAGGTGCAGCCGCAGGAAGGGTGGGATGGGGGGACAGCTTGGCTGGTGCTCCCCTGCAGGAAGAGGCAGTGTTCTTTGCTCACAGTGACGGTGGAGGGGACAGGTGGGAGGCTGGAACATGGGTTGAAGGAAGAAATTTGGTCAGACAACCAGGCAGATGAGAACCTCTGCTCTTGAGGTCAGTGGTCAAGGATTTTTGCGTGTGTGGCAGGACGAGTCTGTCCTCCCGTGTAACTTTTTCCAGCTGAGCTCGGATGCCTGGGTGCAGGTGAGTAAAAAGGAGAAGGCTGGGGTTTCTCCGAGGCGGGGTTCTGCCAAACGGACATGTTGAGAAGGCAGGAAGGCATGGGGAGACCAGGCTATGCTCACGGGGTCGCACTGGGATGAGCCGTGGAAACTATGGGGAAGGGGGGAGGGCAGGAAGTGAAGAGAGAAAAGAGTGAGGAGATGGGAAGGGGAAAAAAGGCCACATCCGCAGCCTTCGCTTCCACCACAGACTAGTGTCGTCTTAGCTGAGCCACACAACGTACCAGTAATCCACCATTTCTGAATTACAAAAATAGCAGTTTCATACAGGTCAACCTCAGAATCCCCAGCACAGTCGTTGAGAACCCAGGTCTGGAGTCAGAGAGACGTGGACTAAGTCCAGGCTCCAACAGTCACTCGCTGAGTTACTCGGGCATGTGCATTAACCTCTCTGGGCCTCGGCTTCCTCATTGGAACAACTCCTCTCTCAGAGATGTTGGAAATAACACATGATGCGCTGTGTATGTGCCTCACGCTCTTCACACTAAGCTCTGCTGACTTCCCGTGACGGCTCCTAAAGACAGGAGCTGCCTGGCTCCTTCCCCTCTAAGTCCCCAGCCCCAGCCCAGGGCCTGGCCCCAGAGTCACTCAACAAACCCTGTGGACCTCCAACCGTCTACACAAAGCCCAGTGCCATGCACCCTCCACGAACCTGAGGAGAATTTGGGATCTGGCTCCTCCTCTCTGCCCCCCCACCCCTTTGTGTCACCAGACTCCTTGGGATCCTCTTCTCCTCCCCCACCCTCGTAGCAGCAAGTCACCAGCATCTACCAGGCTTCTTGCCTCCTCTCTCCAATCTGAACCTTGCTTTCCACCCCCTCGGACAGCCCACGGGCCAGATCCAGCCCATCGCCTGTTTTTCAAATACAGTTTCACTGGAGCACAGCCACACCCACTGACGTCCTATCTGCTTTTATGCGACAACGGCAGAGTTCAGCAGTTGCAACAGAATCCGTGTCGTGTCACCTTCAAAGCTTAAAATGTTTACCGTGCGGCCCTTTGCAGTTTGCGGACCCCTCGGCTAGCTAATATCTCAATCACCTCGGAACTGGAACACGACACATCTCCCAACCCCCTTCCTGTATGCAATGCTGCTGATTCCAGAAGATTCCATACACCACGGCATCATTGATCTCCCCGATTCCGTGGGGATCCCACCACCGTGCTGCTCCGAACCGCTAAGAGCACCCCAGTCTGAAGCAGCATCTCCTGAACTCGGCCGTCCTCACGCCTCCTTCACAATTGTCACACACCCACAATCCTCCCACCTATGACTTAGTTCGTGTTTTTATTTTAAACTCATTTTTAAACTTAAATAAAACAAACTTTTGTATCACCACTTAAAAGCAGAAAATCAGTAATACTTGCCATACACCAAAGGCAACTCTACAAATAAACACAAGAAAAACCAAATTGCAGCACTAAATTCTCGGTGGGTCCCATGCTGCTAATAAGTCTGCAGCCTGCTCTGTCTTTGTTGAAAAGAAACTAGAAAAGATCAAAGAGATGAGAACGACATCTTAGCACCAGACTGAACTCGTTCTCAGAGACCGAGTCCGGGGACTGACGGGGACTGACGGGGACTGACGGGGAGTTCCTTTCTCAAGGGGTGGTTCAATCGTATTTACCACCTAGTTTCTATTCTCCCTCAGTCGGCTCAGGCCACTCCCTCCTATGCACCCCCCCAATGCGAATCCCACTCTCCAGCCCCTTCCGGAAACCTTCTCCAGCCACCCTAACAAGGGACATCACTTCTTTGTCTATGTACTTAATATGCAGAAGTGAAATAAAATTTTTGGTTTTCAGCTGAAGAGAATCATCTGGCAGAGAAAAAGATCCTGGAACTGAAGGACATTGAATCAAGCACAACTGTCGCCAACGAGAGAGGCACTTTCTTTGAACCCTTCTGGAATGACCCAAAACTAGTTTAGGAGGGTGCAGGAGAAAGATCCTTTGAGCTAGGAAAAAGGACAGCTCAAACCCCACTGAAGAGAAAAACGAAAGTTAGTCTCAGAAAATCCCCCAAAACAGCCTACCAGGTGATTGGCCAAGAGGAAAGGTTTTTACAGCAACTTCATCCACCTAAAACTTTTCTTCTTTTTTCTAAAGGCTCAAGTGCCCTCATCCACCAAATGCGGGTGTTGGGACCTCAGGAACAAAGTTTCACTTGGTGTCGTTCACTGTGGTCGTTTCCCCGAGGGCAGAAGACCTGCCCAACCCAAATGTGCGTCTTCTACCCCAGCCCGGGCCAGCACAGAGCTCTCTGTCCAAAGGAAGTTTTAGGTGGAACCCCAATAAATAAAACAAAGACAAGTCAATGCCAAGCAGTTTGGAGGGGCGCCTGAAAGCCGACTTGCCCAGCCACCCCTCACCCCCAAGCCCCGCCCAGGGCGCCCCCAGGGATCCCCGAGGACCCACAGTCGCTGGGAAGCCCCCGCCATAATGAAAGCTCTCCCTGAGGAGATGGCTGCCCCTCTGCCTGCGCGGACTGAGGACGCACCATTCACCCACGGGGGCAACATACCCGAGCCTTGGCTGGAGCCTAAGAGAATGGAGGAGGGCGTCTCCCTGGAGCCAGAAAGGTCGAGGGTCTAGAAATACAAAGAGAGAGAGATGGACTCAAGGCCCTGGGGCCAATGTAGCCCCCCAGGGAAGCCCAGGGATCCACGCTGCCCACAAGGCCCCTTCGTGCCCTCTGCCCGGCGGGAAGGCCAGGTCCGCTGGGGTGCCCCACACTGTATGGTGACTCCCGGAATGAGCAGGCTCAACACGGCACTGGGGTGGCCCCTTACTCAACCCTATAGCCTCAGCTTCTAGAACATTCACTGCTTCCTCCACTTCACTCACTGACCTGCACACCCTCCAGATTCTTGCCATATCCAAAAAGGAAATATAGTACTTCAAAATCAATTTATTTTTAGTTCACATTAACCTCTTACTAGGCAATAATATCAACAAAATCAAAGGGTGACTGATGGGATAAAGACTTATTTTTACCTAATACACACTGAAATAAATACAGGGCTAAAAATGTAAAAAGTTACCAGTGTGCCGCCTAAAATAACGTTTGCACACAATCCACGTTACGTATCCCACACGACACTGGGAGCTGTGAGGTGCGACCTTCGCCGTCCACCGTGGCAGCCACTAGCCACATGTGACTCTTTGTATTTAAATTAATTATAATTAAATAAAATTTAAAATTCCGGTCCTTGATCAGACGAGCCACAGTTCAGGTGTTCCAGAGCCACACGTGGCTAGTGGCTGCCATCCTGGGCAGAGCAGATACAGAACATTTCCATCATCACAGAAGCTTCTACTGGACAATGTGGTTCTAAATACACACCTGCCCACACACCCACTGGTTAGAAGGAGCCAGACTAAGATTCTCAGATTACCCCCCCTTGAAGAGAGAAACCCCCTCCAATATGGGACTTGCTGGGCTGGCAGGCATGGGGACGGGTCCTGAGCCTCTGCTTGGCTCCCAGGGTAGTGTCGCTGGCCGAGGGCGTGGGGATACTCACTGAGCCACTGTCCTTGCTTTTCTCAGCCGGCGTCTCCTTCTCTTTCGAGGCACTGGCCGCTTCCGGAGGGGCTGCCTGGGCGCTGGAAGAGCTCCCCTGGGATGACTTGTTTAGTGTTTCTGTGCTCACCTCGGCATCTGCTTCCTGCTGAGGGGCAGTAGCTGGGGGCAAAGGGGCAGAGAAGCCACATATAAGCGGAGGATGGTGGCTTCAGACATGCAGGGAGTCCCGCTCTGCACGCCACGGCCCCGCGGCTCAGCACAACACTGACCCCAGCACCATCCATAACAGAGGCAGCGGCTGCTCAGCCCCACCCAGGGCACGAGTCAGGCCCAGGGCCACAAAGTTTCCCAGAAGCTGCAATTCCAGACTTTGTGTGAAAATACGCTGATTTTTAATAGCTAGCAATTCAAGGTTTATTAAAGCATCCTGGAGACGAAACCACGTTCGTGGAACAAACGAAGCCCGTCGGCAAGAGCCAGCTACCGTGGATCTAGAATAACTCATTTCACCATTTCTAACTTTGGACCTACTTTAGCCCTGTGGATTGATTCCTTCTGAGGTGGGGCAAGGAAATCCACGGGAAAAGCAACATGACATCAGAGGCACAGAGCATCTGGAGACGTGAAAACGTGGATAAAGTGAAAACCAGGATGTTTGAGAATAATTTCAGGAGGATGGACCTTATGACACCACAAAGAAAGGAAAGCTGAAGGACAGTTGGGCCACCCTGTAGCAACAGCGGAGGGGCCATCGGACACATTCCAGACCTCAGGGGAACATACCTCCACCACGGGACGAGAGTTAAAGTCACTAGGAAGAAGACGTCTCCCCAAAGAAGGTTAACAACACGGCAATGGATGCTTCAATGCTGCCGTTTTAAAAATGACAAACTAGAGAGCTGTTGAGAGCAGGGGTCGGCAAACTGGTGCCACCCGCTTTTGTAAATAAAGTCTTATCGGGACGCAGCCCCCGCCTGCCACGACACATTGTCCGTGGCTGCTTCTGCCCTACAAGCTGAGCAGTTTCGACAGATTATACAGCCCACAAATCCTCAGATATTTACTCCCTGGACCTTCACAAAAAATGTTTGCCAACCCCTGGTCTAGAGAGAACTTCTCACACTTGCTCATTCATACGTCACCTTTGAAAATTCTGCCAATTCAAAGACAGACTTAGCTTTGTCATATTATGTTATTTTTACTTAAATAAATTCTTTAAAATGGAGACTTTTAATTCTAACCATATAAAGCTAACATTTGCCATAAATAAAATCTAACTGTAAAAATTACTTTTAAAATATTATTTTATATATATTTTTTTTTTTTTTTTTTTTTGAGGAAGTTCAGCCCTGAGCTAACATCTGCTGCCAATCCTCCTGTTTTTGCTGAGGAAGACTGGCCCTGATCTAACATCCATGCCCAACATCCTCTACGTTATACGTGGGACACCAACCACAGCATGGTGTGCCAAGCGGTACGTATGTCTGCACCCGGGATCCGAACCAGAGAACCACAGGCCACTGAAGCTGAATGTGCGAACTTAACTGGTGTGCCACCGGGCCAGCCCCATTAACATATTATTAATAAATTCTAACTAGACAAGTGTTTCCTACTGGAGTCCCCTGGCCTGAGATCTGCTCACTCTGTGCTGGAAAGTGTTACGAAGACTGATTAGTTCTAGAACCGACACTTTTCCTTCACATAAGAAGGGGGAATCCTCATTCTTCAAAGCCGGGAGTCCAGGATTACCTAAAAAGCAGGGTTTCTCCACTTCAGTACTATTGACAGCTTGGGCCGGATCATTCTCTGTTGGGGGGAGCTACCCTGTGCCTTGTAGGGTGTTCAGCATCATCCCTGGCCTTGACCCTCTAGATGCCAGTAGCACCCTCATAGTTCTAACAGCCACAAATGTCTGTGGTCATTGCCACTGACTTTTGGAGGGGGAAAAGGTGGACAACCACTGGAACTCCCATGAAACCAGAGCCATCTGGGTTGTCATTACAAGCCCGAGACGTTGGCAAAGGCCAGAGGTTCAAGACGCCTGTGCCTCGCGTCTCAGCCCTGTGCCTGCATGCTGCCCTCTTGTGTGTAAGAGACACAGCTGTTTGCGAATGACAGTGGCCAGGGCCTTGCCAAGCCACCCCTGCCGCGGCAGCCCCCTCCGTGGCCCCGGGGCGCCCCGCGCGTACCTGACTGGGTACAGGACTTCATGTGCTCGGGCCAGTGGGCCTGCTGACAGGGGTAGTCACAGTAGCTGGTGTTCCAGCAGCAGTAGAAAATGGCCTCCTTCTTGCAGTTGGCGCACCACTGCTTCTTCTTGGTCTCGTCCACCGCCTGCTGCTTCTCCAGCTCCAGCTGCTTCTTCACCTCGGCAATGAGGCGGTCCCGCTCCTGCTCCAGGCTCTGCCGCATCTCGGCCATGGTCAGCTCTGAGGAGGGGGACAGGACCTGGCTTCAGCCCCCGCCCCGGCCGTGGCCATGGGGTTACTCACACCAGACAGAGAGGGAGGCCGTGGATTCCGACAGGCAGGTGGGAAGCCTGGCCGGAGCCGCCCAGCTGTGAGGCCCTGGGAGAGGAACCTCGCCCCCCAAGCCCCAGCGTCTCGTCTCGTCCATAAAACAAGCTGCTCGTCATAATGAAGGTGGGGCGCCTCGAACCGAGGTACAGGAGCCCCACGGCGATTCTGTGGGAAGCCCTCAGGTAAACCCCGAAACAACTTCCACTAAACTCACTTTGGGTTTTATGTATAAGCCTTTTGTTTAATCAATCACATACTTACGCAGCACCTACTGTATACAGGCGCTGTTCTAAGTACCTTCTACCTCATTTAACCCTTACACCACTCCCATGAGGTAAACACTACTGTAAACCCCTTTCACAGATGAGGAAACTGAGGCACACAGCTACAGAGGCCAGAGCTGGGACTAGAACTTGGACGCGCTCTCTTTCCAGTGTGTTCAGTGGCAGTGGATCCAATCCACAGACAGGGCGCTGCGGCTGATCGTGATGCTCACAGGACAGCTATCGCACGGCTCAGCCTGCTGACATTTCTCTAATCTCACTTCAGACAGTAAGTGCATTTGCAATTCACCTGGGAGCGACCCGCACATCGAAATAAAAGAAAAATAAATGGTTCCTCAATTCCTTAAAATCCTTTTCTTGAAATTAAAAGAAAAAAAACCCTCCAAAATACACCAATAAACAAACAAAAAAATACACCAATAAAGAAAACTAACCCCTTGTGAAGAAGACAAGAAACACTTGTGGCCAGAAACCAGCTTTCCATGAGCCACAGCTGCCTTGAACCGGGAGCTGCAGCCCGCGGCACGCTCTGGCCAGCCCAAGCGGAGGGTTTTCAAATGTGCAGCCAATATTTAAACATGGAGAGATTCTGCATAGAAACAGATCTCTTGCCTCTACTAGAGAAACCAGCAGCAACAGCAACCAAACAAGCTTCCTTCACGGCAATAAGCTGAGGGACCAGGAGCCCCTTGCCCGCTGGCTTCATAAGGGTGTGGGGTTCGCAGCACGTGATTTAAACATCTAGCACCTGTGAGCAGGTGGGCACACCTGGGCGGGCTCCCGCTGGTTCCCAGCATGCTGACTCTGAGGCTGATACCAGGTGAGAGGCTGGAGGAAACTGCTCTACCTGTGGCGGGAAACCTGTAACAGCTACACAGAACGGCAGACGAAACATCAGTCAGTCCAATCCAGGGAGCAACAAAGCAGCTTTGCCACCGCGTAAGGCACAGGGAATCTGTGAAAATCCCTAACATTCGATGGTTAAGCAGGGACGGTCTGGAGCCAGAGTGCCCAGCCTTGAATCACGGCTGTGTGACTTTGAACAACCTCCTTAAAATATCTGTGCCTCAGTTTCTTCACCTGAAAACTGGAATATCAGAGCCCTTTATAACGGTTTCTGTAAGAGTTAAATTAGTTGTTTCGTGAAAAAGTCCTTAAGACAGTTCCTGGCACAAGCCAAGAGTTCAGTAAGTAGAAGCTGCTCCGGCGTTACTGTTATTTTGTTGCCGATGCTGGAACACTGATGAAGAAAGAGGGCGGGGTCCCACCGACACCTGCTTCTCTCTGGTTTCTCCAGGAGTCTCACATCTCCCCAGGAGTGGTACACCCCCCTAGCCTACTTTGGACTCAATTCACATCTGGCCCTGACTCCAGGGGTGCCAAGAAGTTCACATGTAACAGCTCCCCGAGGACAGCCCGGCCCCCAGCCCTTACCCAAGTTGTGTTTCATCTCCGACAGCTCCTGCTGGTGTAGCCACTGAAGCTTCTCGATCTCGATCCTCAGCCTGCGGATCTGTAAGGGGGAGAGTGAGACTTGAACAGCGCGTCTGGGCGCCGTCACCAACAGGGCTCAGGAGCTGCAGCCCTCACGACCCGTGAGGCGGAACGTCACTCGGCGAGTCGAGGGGCAGGCAGCGCGGACCTGTGCTCACCTTCCACAGCCACAGTCCAGGGAGGTGGGTGCCCGTGCCTTAACCCAAACTCACGAGAAAGTCTGTTTCAGAAAACCAAATACAAGCAGTCCATCTTTCCCGAGAAATACTGGCTCCAGGAAAAGCCACTTAAAGGGGAAAAAAGGGACCAGATTTTCATAATAAATACACAAAAGGTTTGATTAGGACTTTGGTCTAAAGAAATCAAACTAAAACAAAGATAGCTTTATTGCATCTCTTACCTAATATTTCAGGTGAGCTCCATAGTCATTTACCTGAAATTCCAAAGCCTAATGTCTCTAAAATCCAAAGGGGATGGGGGGAGGAGTCTGGGGCCAAATTAATTTGGAGGGGAAAAAATAAACTCAATCTGAACTGATACGAGGCTATTACAGTGTTTAATTATCACAGCGTTTCTCAGCTGGGGTGATTTTGCCCTCCCCTCTCCCTCCATGTCACTGCAATGTCTGGGGACATTTGGGGTTCTCACAACTGGGGGTGCTACTGGCATCCACTGGGTAGAGGCCAGGGAAGCTGCGAAACCTCCTCCAACAGACAGAAAACCCCAACAACAGAGAACGATCTGGCACAAGCGTCAGCAGTGCTGAGGGTGAGAAATCCTGATTTATCCCACATAGTGTGAACAATTCTGTTTCACTGCAGAAATGTTGTATCTAATTGCATATTATCTCTTTAAAATCTGGAAAATTCTGGCACACATCCGGACCCAAGGTTTCAAGTGAGACATTATGGATCCGTACTTTCAACCACATGCCAGTTCTTAAAATGAACAAAAAAGAATGAAGTATGGTGGCGGGTGGGGCGGGGTGGGGTGGGGGGGGGAGGTTTTTCTGAGGAAATATTTTCCATTCTTGTTTGACATCCCCAGCATCATCGTGAAGAGGGTCACAGCAGCAAAAATATCCAAAGGGAGTCCTTTCTCTCAGGGCTGTCTCAGCCCGGTCTCCTCACCCCAGTCTCTGCTGGGAGCCATCAGGACACGTTCCTCTTTCGTCTGGGGGCCAGTCTACCCCTGCCTCAAAAGTCTGGCTTTGCACGGAATTCCCACAGTCCAACACCAGCTGCGTGACCTCAAGGAACGCCACCACTGCATTCCACCTGGTGACCCGTCTGCGTCTGGCTGCAGTGAATTCGCCTACGAGCGAAGCTCAGGAAGGTCTCATTTTATAAATGGTCGCTTCATAAGCAGACATTTTAATGTTCTAACCACTCTAGTGGCTTAGGCGATCACATAATTGCACAGGCTCAGTACACAAATTCTCAGACAGCAAGGATCACTTGTATAAAAACGTCCAAACTTACAGAGAAGATCAAGGAGACAATTTTACACGGGGCCAAAAGAACAGGTTTCTGGTTTCACCAATGGGTTAACTCAGGCTCTAATTTTCTGGCTGTTTTACTAGAAGTAACTGATTACACAAAGCAGGGTGTGTCTCCACAGCGCCAGCCTTCTGGCCAAACGAAGAAATACCCGCACCAACAGCCACAACCAGCAGAGCATGCTCAGCAACCGGATTTCCAGAAAAGCTTCTTGATGGCACCATCCTATAGCAGCCCATAAAACACTCTTAGCAAATAAGGAATTATGTGTCACCTCTGACCTCGGCTATTGTGCTTCCAGTAGTGTTTTTAGAAAGATCGTTATATATTTCTGTCATCGTTCCTTTTATTGCATCCATCATCTGAAAGATAAAAACAGAAACAATTAAGGTGATGACTTCCCTGAGGCTTTTCGAGATGACAGACATCTAGAATCTATGTGGATAAAGCAGTGGCTCTCAATTGGAGGTGATTTTGTCCCCCATGGGACATTTGACGTTTTTGGTTGTCTTGAGTGATGGTGTGGGGGGTGCTACCGGCATCCAGTAGGGGGAAGCCAGAGATACACTAAATATCCCACAGTGCCCAGAACCGCCCCCACAATAAAGGATTATCCAACCCAAAATGTCACTAGCACCAAGGCTGAGAAACCTGGTCCGAATCAGGGTAGGGACTCACGCACAAATTCCCTGCCTCGCAGTGTGGGCATAGTTCACACCCATGAAGCTGGTTTCTATGGCCACAGACTCAACTGGGCAGACCGAACGCGGCCCCCAGATGTGTTTCATCTGGCCAGCACACTGCGTTTGAGGGATGGATTGTTTTGTTGCTGCTGTTTTTAAATTTTTTCCCCTTAAAAAAACAACCATCTAACTGCAATATCATTCATGTACCATACAACCCACCCATTGACAGTGTACGATTCAATGGCTTTCAGTATATCCAGAGTTGGATATCCAGCACCACAATCAATTTCAGAACCTTCTCATCACCCCAAAAAGAAACTCTGTGCCCCCTCAGCCTTAACCCCCCAAAATCCCCATCACCCCTAGCCTCTGACAACCACTAACCTGCTTTCTATTGGCTTAATCTAGATATTTCTTATACATGGAATCATATAATATGTGGCCCTTTGTGACTGCCTTGTCAACTTAGCACAAAGTTCTCAAGACTCATCTGTGTTGCTGGGGGTACCAGCAATTCACTACTTTTTATGGACAAATAATAATAGAGTCCACCGTGTGGACAGAGCCGGTTTGTCACTTTTAATGCCTTTGGTCAGGGCACTGCCTTTCCAGTTTGTTTCCCATCTTCCTTTTCTTTAATTATCTGATCCCCTAGGGCATCAGCGAGTTTGTGACATCCGTGCAGGTCCACACAGCAGGCACCCAGATATCTGCTGACCGACTAAAGTGTTTGTAGGATGGATTCCTCTTCTAGCTCCCACTTGCCGGCTGACCCCTCCTGCGTCACAGGAGAAAGAGGATGGGGCAGGAGCCCAAGCTAGGTCTCAGGCCCGGCCTGGCCACTGTCCAGTCTCCCCCGTGCTTTGCAGCCCGCTCCAGTTCAGTAAGAAGGCAGGACAAAGAGCCCTCGTGTGTGAAGCTCGAGATTGTTCCCACCATTACCTCTTACCATCCACACCCTCTCTCAGCCTCGGCTCCCCATGCAGAAAACAAGGATAATAACAGCACCCCCTCGTAGGGTGTGCCCAAGGATTAAATGAGAAGATCACATGAAGACTGTGGCTGGGTACCTGCCACAGGGTAGGTGTTCATGAAGAAATACTTGTTCATCTTCTTTTTACAGAAAAATAAATTCACATGAGCATGGAATTGCACAATTCCTGCCAACTCCCAAAATAGGAATCCCAAATTCACCCCAAAATGGGAGGAAAATGAATAAAATATCTGTTGAGATTTCTACTCCCAGCTTGTTGCGGGGGCCAGGCCGGGAGGCTGCCAGCAAGAATGTGCTTTATGCAGCTTGACGGGTCGGCCACTCTGTGTGGGCCTCCTTACCTCACTGTACCAACCACGTCAATTTAAAATATTAAAACAAAATTGCTTTACAATAAAACTTCAGCAAGTGGATGAAATTCAATACATTACTAATGCAATGGTCACATTCCATTTTTAAGAAATCATGAATTTGTAGACCGACTTTCCCTCTTACTTCCAAATATAGCAAAGAACTCCACATTAATAAAGAGGGCCCTTCTGCCAAAACACACAAATCTGGGTCTTCAACTCCGGGTCACCTCGGAGACAGGAAAGTTCATCAGCTCCAAAAATATGTCACTGTGCTCATTTTCTTAACTGCAAAGAAAACGTCTATCAGAAAGTCCATTCCTCAATTTTGCTAAGAGGAAAGAGAAGGCAGAAGGTCGGGGAATAAAAGTGGCTTCAGGAGCTGAGAAAAGTAGCTCAGTGCAAACCACCTGCATATCCACAGTGCCATAGCCACTCGGCGTGCCTCAGTTTTCCCATCTGCAAACAGACAGCTTGGACCAAACTGATGCAAGGTGATATAAGACGCAACTGCAAGCAGAACAAGAGACCATTTCGGCAATACCAGACATCTTCTTAAATCAGTGATGAAAAGGTGCCCCCCCCCCCCTTTCAATTCTCTTCTAATCCTACAGATCGTCTTAGGAAGGAAGTCGCAGTTGGGTGCCAGCACGTCTTTAACATTTTCATGACAATATCTGTTTTTTGGTTTTTGGGTTTTTTAAAGTTAATTTTTATTGAGTTTATGATAGTTTACCATCTTGTGAAATTTCAGTTGCACACTGTTATTGTTATGTTATTGTTACGACAACATCTGCTTTTAAAAAAAAGGAAAATGGACTTAGGCTTCAAGCCTTGACAAGGAACAGTATCTTGCAAGGTTAAGCTTAATTATATTTAAGCTCTTTAACTAAGTCAATTTAAATCAAATTTAATTTAACTTAAATAAAAATATTAAGTCAATACTAGTTGAGGTAGTTGAACAGGTAAGACAAAAAGCTTGAGGACGACAACAGGTAACCGACACTTGAATGCTTCCTGCTCTGAAACTGGGGGACTCGATAACAATCCACGCGTTTTATTCAAAAAGGTGACAGACGTATAAATAAAGAGACAAACTTATCCCCAGGACTAGTTCTGATGATCTCTTTAGCCACAGTGAATCTTCATTAAGTGGGGCTGCTTAAAAAGAGCCACAGGCAAGAACAATCAGTTTGTGGACAGTGGATGTCTGTGGTCAGTAGGCTTCGGGTGAATTCAGAAACTAGCTCAAAGCCGGGTAAAGAGGCCTTGCTAGATCCTGGCTGCTACCATTCGGATCCCTAGACAAGCTGCGTAACCTCACTGGGCCTCAGTTTTCTCATCTATAACATGGGGGTATATAACATCTATAACACGGGCACCGACCTCATCAATTTGTCACGAAGACTGAGTAAGTAACACACAGAGCGCTTGGAGCAGTGTCTGGCCCCACGTAAATGCCATGCAAACATGAGCTACTGCAAGTGTCACCTTACCTATTGTGACAGACAGACTCTTGTGTAATCCCCTCCCCTCGAGTGTGGGCTGGCCTAGCAACCTGCTTCTAACCAGGAGAATATGGCAAAGGTGATGGGACAGTTCTGCAATGATGCTACATAAGACCATGACTTCCCTCTTGCTAGCAGGCTTTCTCTAACAGGCTTTGAGGAAGCGAGCTGCCATGTTGGGAAGGCCTACCTGGCAAGGAACTGAGGGTGGCCTCCAGCTGACAGCCAGTTAGAATGGAGGCCCTCAGCCCAACAGCCCTGGAGGAAGTGAATCCTGCCCCAGTCAAGCCTTCAGATGAAACCTCAACCCTAGCAGATACGTTGACTGCAGCCTGCCAAAGGGCCTGATGCAGAGGACCCAGCTGAGCCGTGCCCAGACTCCCGACCCACAGAAACAGTGAAGTAAGAAATGTGTGTTGTTTTAAACTGCTACATTTTGTGGCAATCTGTTATGCAGCAATAGGTAACTAATACACTTAGATACAAGGAATGAGAAAATGACCAATAAAAACTCATTGGTAAAAAATTCCACAGACTGTCTCTCGCCATCCAGAACTAAAAGATTCTACCTTTAACAGGACATGATAAAGCAACTCTTTATCATGAGATTTCAAAAATCCTAGAAACGACTGTTCTCAACTATTGTCATCCATTCTGTCTATAAACTTCAATAGCTTACTCATTATTATTACTGCCCATTTAGTAATTTACTAAATACTCTTAGTAGATTATTACTCATTAGCTACTATGAACAGTTACTATAGTAATAAGCCTGATGACGAGAAGTTAGGCAACAACATGCATTCATTTGACAACTATGAATCAAGCACCTACTGTGTGCAGACACAGTCCTAGGCCCTGGCAGTGAGAAAACAGACAGAATCCTGCCCTCATGGAGCTGACAGTCTGGTGGTGGTCGTGACTGCCGAGTGGTCTGTTGGTACACACCTGCGCCTGTCTCCAGGGCACTCATATGATGGCGAGGAGAGCTGCAGGCTTTATCTACCCAAATTCAACAACGAACATAAAAGCACTTGGCAAATTAAAAGAGAAAAAGCAAGGGCTGGTGCTGAGAGAGTGCCCACAAGTGACCCCACAGAGGGGAATCCTGCCCACTAGGCCACTCAACGAAGAGTGTGCCCCAGAGGATGGGCAAGTCCGGTGGGGGACTCCACTACTCCCCTCTCCATCTTGGTTTCTAGAAAAGTCTAGGTGTGGGCATTGTGCCTTACGAGTCTCATGTTTAAGCCTCTGTCACTTCGGTTCCACGTGGCTTCTCCATGCAAACCAACCCTTGCTCTGTTGTTGACTGAAGGAACAGAAACTTGTTCCAGTGCTTAAAGAAAATCTGAAGGGTAATTCTGATTCTATGCCATTTCCCTGCCATGTACTGACTTCGGAATCTAAGCCGTCTCAGAGCAAGATTCAGTCCATTCTATATTCCTCTGCTGAGATCCAACTTTAGACCCAAATGGAATAGTCTGGTCTTGGAGATCCTCAGTACAACAGGGTCTTCCCTCCCAGATTCCCCCCAAAACCTGCGAGGTCACGACCCCGTGGTTCCCATCAGGAAGCTGGTCCTCTGACATCCTGCCAGGGGCCTGCTGGCACTCACTTTGCTAGTGTACTTGGCGATGTCCGCGGCGACATCGGCAGAGGCGGTGGCGATGGGCAGGTCTGCACTGACTGAAGATGCGAGGGTGCTCGTGGACCCTGAGCTGGTGACCAGGGGCGACGACTGAGTGCTGGTCACCAGGGTGATGGTGGAGGTGGATGGGCTCTGGGTGATCTCCTTCTGCTGGACAGCTAGGAAAACAAAGGACCCCGGTCACCCACTGCTGCGGAAGGGCCCGTCCCAGCACAAAGCTGTGGTGAGGGGGGCGGAGCCCCTGGCACACACCCTGTGAGCTTTTCTGCTTTCAAATGACAAAAATGCTCCCCCTGACCAAACCAGCCAGGCTCCTCTGAGCCCTTTCTTGACTAGGCCTCAACTTTGGCCTAGCAAGACTTGGGCAAATACAAACAGAGCTTTGAACAGCTCAAGGCAGCATGCCTAGGGTGACCCCATCCCTAGGTGACTTAAGGGCCTGCCTGAGAAGACTCAAGGCTGCCAACGGGATGGACCGTTCCAGCCAACATCTGAAGACAGGCTCTGTGGGAGGGGAGAAGCCCAACTTCAAAAGGCGCGAGGCAGCCAACCCAGTTTCAGGCGGGCCAATCCCCCTTCCCGCTTTTTCTAAGTTTTTGCATCCTGATTCTACTGAGTCCGCACTCGCCCGCCTCCCTTCCCCGCCATTCTCCCTTTAAAACGCCCAGTCACCTCTGTACAAATCGAAGTTGACCATAGTTCACCCTGGACTCTTTTCTCTATTGCAAGAGCGTATTACCAATTAAAATCTGTCCTCACTTCTTTACCTAGCGCCCAGCTTTCTTTGACCCAAGACAATCTGCAAATTGAGAAGCACCCTGTCACGGAGCCTGTTCTTGCCGGCACCTATGCTCCCCTGGGGGAGGCTCATAACTCTTACGGGCTACGAAGACGGAAGGCCGGACCTGGTCGTCGCAACCTCACATACCACAGCTTCAGTCCTGCCCACCAGCTCTGTGAACAGCAGGATCCAGCTGGCTCTGGTCTGCCTTTGCCCGTCCGATCTTTCCGTCTTCCCTCCCCCCAATCTTTGAGGGGTTTCCTTGGGGACCAATTCAAGATTCGGCTACTTTTCAACTTCATATCCTGCCACTCTTAAAGAGTTCTGCTCACTAGCGTGCGCTCACTACACAAGAACTTCAACCAAGGGGCCTGACCTTGAAGGATCTAGATACAGGCTTCCCCGTGGAACAAGATCTCCGTAACTGCTCACAAAAGCTGGGCACACTGGTACCCTTCAGATCAGCACTTTCTTTGGCTTTGCATCAGCTCCAGATGGAGCCTCCCGCAAGGCTGGTGGGAGTTTTGATTCTGCAACTTCAGCAACTGGCTCCTGATGCTGGCTCTCCTTTTGCGTGTGGCTAGTCCTTAGCCACTAAGGTAGCCTTTGCTACCAGCTTCTCACACTGGACTCTTTCCCAAATAATGCCAAGGGGCTCATGCATATGCACAAGGAAACTTATACAAAGATGTTCACTGCAGCACCGCTTGCAAAAGGAAAAAACTGGAAGCAACCTAAATGCCCATCAGTAGGGGAATACTTTCAATAAACTATGGAATACTATGCAGCAGTCCAAAATAAGGCAGAGCTCCATGTACTGACATAGACAGACCTCCAAAACATGCTGATGGGTGAAAAAAGCAAGAATGGTACCATTTTTATGTTTTAAAAAAAGGAAAAAGGAAAAAAAAAAAGTACTATTTTTATGAAGAGTCACATATATATAAATATATATGCATACATGCATAAAAAAGAGTTTTACACTTAACAGTGGCCACTAAGAAAGGGTGGAAAATGAAATGGACGGTCAATCAAGACAATAGTTTTGTGTAAATATTTTACCCCTTTCGAAGGAGAATCTGTGCGTGTATTGTTTATAAAATAAAAAAAGTAATAAAAAAATAAAAGTAAAAAATCAAGTCGCAAAACAAGTTTTAAAAATAATGCCAAGTAGAATGTGTAAGGCCTGCAGGATACAATGGCCAGGAAACAAAGGAGAACTGAAAAAAACAAAACAACAATGGTGTTTCTCCTGTCGGTGTGGCAAAAAGGGAGCGGGCGCCACGGAGAGCAGAGGGGAGGCTTGGTACCTTTCACAGCCTGTCTGGTCTGATATCTCGTCCCCTGGGAAGACTGAGGCTGCTGCTGCTGGTTTTGCTGCTGCTGCTGCTGCTGCTGGCGCTGCATCTTCTGCATGTGCCACTTTTGGGAGGACGTTTGAAACTTACTTGATGAGTTCCACACGACCCGCTGCACGGCCGGGGCAGTCTCCTTCGGTAAAAGCGGCCTCTGCTTTTTCACCGGGCTTCCCGTGGCGGTGGCGGCCGGGGCCGTGACCGTGGACGTGGTGCTGGTGGTGGCCGTGACACCAGCCGTGGGAGTTTGGGAGGAAGAGCGGGTGAGGACCGGCGTTTCAGGGGGAGACTGGCTGCCTGCCGTAGTGGATGGTGGAGCTTTACCTACAACTAAAGCCAATGCGTAAAAAAAAAAAAAAAAAAAAAGGTAGATTTGATTCAGGGTCGCCTGCAGGGTCTTTACACCAGCAAGTTCTGGGGGGAACAACCCAAGGCCAGGAACACCCAACTAATTCAGCACCTCAAGGATGCCCCAACCGAGGAGCACGTTCTCATCTTAGACATTTAGACTGCTTCTGCAGCATCTTCTATCTCAGACAGCATCCGCTTCCTTCCGTGAGCACTGCTCCCATCTGAGACACGTGTCAAGGCCTCTGGGGGAAATGGGGCAAGTGAAACCCAGCTCCTGCCCTCAAGCTGCCCCCCAACTAGTGGACGAGGCAGTGGACGACCAGAGCCACTGCAAGCATCTTACTTTCCAAAGCTAGAATGGGTAAGCACCTTTGAGAAAGACCCAGCCAAGGCCCATCCAGAAACTAAGAGAAACCTTTTGGCTGGGGAACCTCTGGAACATGGAACCCAGAGAACCAGATGGCTTCCCAAGGGCCAAAGTCCTGAACAGCATTGTCATCCGGAAAGAAAAGCATCCCTTTAAGCTTTTCTGATTCCATCCAGGACAAAGTCTCCATGTGGTGCTGACAGCCTTGAGACCTAACACTAAAGGGCGCTCCCCCCCAAGGCCAGACCCTTCCCCAACACAATGGTATTTATGTAGGATTCGGGAACCTTGCTCTCATTTTGGCCATACTTATTCCTGCCACCATCTTTTCGGTACAGCATCAGATACTGGCTTGCCTAACGTGTGCTGATCAACTTTAAGTCTAAAATGAGTTTAATTTTTTTTTAAAGAGCGAGTTGCTTCAAATAAAAATGTGAAGTCAATAATTATACAAGCAAGACAGGAATGGCAAAAAATAGCGCATGTGAATGACTCAAGTTCGAAAAAGCTGCCATAAGGAGACTGTCTTCTGGGAGGATCTGGGCCATGGGGGTGGGGGCGGGATTTCAACAGGTGGAAGTGAGACTCTGGAGGGGAACAGCCAGCCGCATTTAGGAATAGGCAGCACTTGGTAAGTGAGGGCAGGCAGTAAGGCGTGGCCGGAAGGCAGGTTAGAGCCAGAAGCGCCGAGCAGCGTGGCAGGGGGCGACCATGGGAGTGCTGGTTTGTAAGTGGGGGTCTGTTGCCTCTGCAGGGGTCCCAGCCACTGGTGAGGTGAACCTTGAACCTGCCCCCCAGAGAGGATGCCCAGGGATCACACACAAAACACAGGTGCATGTCAGCACCCCAATCTCAGACAATGTGCCTTGACATCAAACTCCTTTCAATAAGGATCACACCTGTCTGTTTAGATTCATATCACCCGGAAAAGATGGGAGCTTGATTATTCTCTGGAGGATTTTCAGTAGGCTGTGGGTCTGGGGAAGCCGAGGAGAGAGAAGGGAAAGGACAAGCTGACCTTTCTGACTCGGGGGCTTTCTCGGCGGTCATCAGGGGTGGCTGGCCCTCCTGCTCCTCTGGAGAAGAGAGTTCAGCCAAAAGAGTGGGCAAGAACATGAGGCGGGGCTGGAAGGGGAGCTCTTCTCACACGGAGGAGGCCCCGCCATCCTCAGGACGACCTGCCAGATATTGGATATGGCCCCCGCCTCCTCAAGGAGCGGAGCAGGCTTTGATCTGGGCCCTTTAAGGGCCCTGCACAGGTTTCCAGTCTGCAGAGGCACCCTCGATGCCTCCCTTCTCTGCCACGTGATCGAAAATATATGGTTATTGTGGATTAGCTTAGCCAGCCCCTCCTCAGGAAAACAGCGACCACAAAAACGTCCTTTCTCTCTCCTGGTTTGCAAAGGCCACCAGCCAGCTGTGCAGAAGGGGTACCCCTCTGGAGGGGTCATGGCGGCCGTCTTTTCCAAATAAACACCTGGAGAGTGCAATCCAGAAAGAGGACGGGTTCGAGGCCCTCTGGGGGTTATCCTTCAGACATGAAAACAGTTTAATTTCTAGGGGATTCTGATGGTTTATAGAGGGAAAAAAGAGGCAAAATGGGAAATTCCACTTGTCCTAGAAATTCGAAGTATGTAATCCATCACCTATAGCCTAAAAAGGGTGCATGTCAAAGGCCAGCACCGCAGAAGGTGCCCCGTCAAACTAACCTCCTTATTCCAGAGTCTGGTCACGGTCCTGAACCCACAGAGGGGCCTTTTTAAGAGAAGGGTGGAAAGTACTGATGGCACAGGGAAGCATAGCAAAGGTCTCCATGGAACCTCCTTTGCCTCTGCTCTGAGAGCACCAGCTGTGAAAGTGTCGTGCTATCTGAGGATTCATATTCTACGCATACACTGCACTCCTAGCGGGAGGTAAGCTGGAGGTCACCACGGCACACTCTGAAATGTCCTTCACTTTGATAAACTCCTAAGTTAAAGGCCATCGTTGAAAAGATGCTCTCCGTGGAGCCTGACACAAAGCCCATCCTCCAGACCCAAACTGCCATCAGGGGGCCCTGGATTTAAGGTGCACTTGCCCCACCCCTGAGAAGCTGCTCTAACTGAATTACGTTTTCAAATCATCTTTAGCTTAATCATCCACCACACACTTAGGGGCTCCTGGAGCAATTTCCTTCACACATCAGTGAGAGGAAGAGCTCTGCTTCATTTCATCAACTGGAACGTTTTTCTATTCTTTGGAAAATAAGAGATCTTTTAAGGGACAGTTTCTCTTCTTGCTTTGACTGCTAGGAAGCTCAGAGTCAAAATGGAAGCGCAACTTTGTTTAACTCTGATGCTGGAACAGTACATATTTCTCTACACAATCTCTCCCCAGACCTCTCACTATTCTCCCTTCACCTTTTACACTGATTTCTTTATATTCATCTTGTTTCACGGTTATGTATCCTTGTCAATCTGTCACAAATCCTTTCCAGAAGAGGAATAAAACCAATCAATGAAAAGGTCTGTTCCAGAAAGAAAGGAACAGTGTAAATACATCATTCATAGGAACACTGTGCCCAGATATTCTCACAACCTCAGGGAATAAATGCTGCCCCTCTGTTCCCTGCAACATCAGAGGCGGTCCCTCAAACCCCGAGCCACAGGATAACGGAGTTTTTCCAAGGCCATCCACAAATCTAAGAGATGACTCAGGGATGGTGTGATGGTCTCCTTCCTGTCACACTCAACTGCTTCTCTCTCTCCCTCCATCGCACCATTCAGGGGCATTGCATCCTCTTTGGATGCATCTCCCTAATAAGCAAGGTTCCAAGGCAGCCCGGGTTGACCCAACCACAAAAGAAAGATTCTCAGGGCTCATCCCCAACTTGCTTCAAGCAGCCAGACTAAGATCCACAGGGACACAGAATCAAATCTTACTCAAGGGCTTGGCTGAGAAGTCAGCACCGAAGTCAGGCAGAGTCAAAAACTGAACCTGGCCATCCCTTAAGTGACTCACAAAGTACAGGAAGTTTTCCGGCTACAACCTCTAATTTGTCCTTCGGCAATGTTTCTCCAGGGCCCTCAATTAATTCTTCATTATCTTTCTGGGGCCTGTTGGAATCCCCTCACACCCACTTGCCAAACCAAGTGAAAAATGTGCTGGCTGCTCTGTCAATGGACAGGACACCCTTCGAATCCTTCACACGCTCCTTCTGGAGGGTATGCCCCCACGCCGGGCCACGGCAGGCCTGAGGGCGGCCGCTGCCTGGTCGGTCTGTAACAGCACCATGGAGACGCAGACAGAGGTTCTCCACCAGGGGGATGCTGCCTCCTAGGGGACATGGGGCAATGTCGAGACATTTCTGATTGCCACACGGGGCAGGTGCTACTGGCATCCAGTGAGTGGAAGCCAGGGGATGCTGCAAAACATCCTCCAGTGCCCAGGACAATTATCCAGCACAAAATGTCAACAGCGCCTGGGGTGAGGAAACCCTGGACTCAACTGCTTCTGTCTCTCCCTCCATTGCACCATTCAGGGGCATTGCATCCTCTTTGGATGCATCACTTACTGCAGACATGGCGGAACACGAACTCAGGTGCCCCCAACAATGCCCCTCCCATTTCTAGCACCCCGGGAAGCACTCAGCGCTCACACCACCTACCCAAACGGTGCTGTATTCTAGTCAGAAAACGCACTTTGAGATGCCTGGCAGCGTGCAGGCAGGAAAGGGAGGATGAAGTCCTCAGCATGACCTTTGACCTGAACACTTCTAACAAGCTCAGCCTTGTCCAACGTCTAAACATGGACGAACCCTTTAGGGAAAGGAGTGAACACGCTGGGGAAGAAGGTGCTTAGACTAGAAATGACTTGACCGCTAAAAGCATCAACTATTTTCTAAGAGACCTATTTTTTCTGAGCTCAAAATCAACCACGTTGGGTAGCGGGCAGGTGAAAGGTGGGCAGAGGCTCAGGTTAAGTCCTGGTCGTGTTCAGTAACTAGCTAGGTGACCTGGAGCCAATCAAAGCTTTGCAGCGCCTCTCCGTGAAGTTAGAGGGTCACACAACTTGTGATAACACAAAAGCAAGCTGGCACTCTAAACCGAATTGAGAAACTGGAAACCGGTACATCACTTACCCTCCTGCTTGGGAGATGATTCTTTGGGCTCCTTCTTATTTTTTCGACCCTCCCGCCCAGAATGGTCTTCTCCTAAATCTATGACCAGTTCGCTCTCTGAGTCGGAGTCCAGGCCCAAATGTACTGTTGGGGAATCCGTCTCATCTTTCCCCTTCAGTTTATCCTTTGTGGGATGGGGCGAGGGTTTTGCTTTTTCTGCAAAGTCCTTCTCGGGCTGGGGGCTTGCCTTTTCCTTGACCGAGCCCGGATCTGCCTTCTCGCTGGCTGGCAATGTGCTTTTCAGCTCCTCTTTAGTCTCCACTGGGTTTGTCAGTTTGGGCTTTTTTTTGACAGATGGCTCTTTGTCCATCCGACTGCCCTCTTTCTCTTCCGCCTCTTCCGGCTCGTTCTTGGACTTCTGCTCCTCGTCACTGATAAACTCACTATCGCTACTATCGGACTTCTCGGAATCGTCCGAATCGCTGTGCTCTACGGCCGTATAAACATCTTCCGAGATTTCATTTATGCCTAAATTCAAAAAGAAAACCCAGCATGTGGCGTAGTCACAAAATAAAGAGCAGGACCAAAGACGCAAACATTTTCCACGCCAAACGCTGGAATCAAAAAACACATCTCAAATCGCATCACGGTGGCCTAGCAGGGTCAGCAACAGACTATGGGGGCAGCTGACTACCGCTGGCAAGGGAACTCAGGCTTGGAGAGCTGGTAACATTCAAGGACGACATGGGACCCAACAACATAAATTTTAAATTGACCCTGAGCTAAATCTCTGCAACACTGCTAACTATCAGGATGCAGAGGAGGGGAGGGGTGGATGGCAACACTAGAGATGAGCTATTAAAATGGATCCATTTTACAGATTAGAAAATAGAGGCTCAAAGAAACCACTTGTCCTAGGACACAAAGATAACCAAGGCAGAGGGAAGGCCAGAACCCTGGGGTCCTGACTCGCCCCCGGTGCTCGTCCCATGTGTTCCCAAAGCATTCAAGTCCTTCACCCTTCGTGTCCAGGGCTCAAAGAAATAAGCCACAGCCTCAGAGCAGAGGTTGCCAACACAGCCCACAAGCCACATCTGGCCAGCGGACACGTTTTCTTTGGGAAGCAATGATTTGGCCCACAGGCTATTTTGTTGTTTAATTTAGAATTTGTTGCCCAATTCACAAATCAGGAAATTTCGCATCGAGATCAAGATGGCAGGCTTGTGAAGAAAGAGTAGATCTGGCCACTCTGGGTCAGAGGCCTGCAAGGCCACAGCTGGCTAGGGCCGAGAAGGCACCGGTCCCTTTAGGCGAGAGAGCACCGTCTCCAGGAGACCCGGGTGCCCGGCCCCCTCTGGCTGCCCACACTGATGCAGAGTGTCAGCTGCCATTGTATTTGCATTGTTCCTCCATTTATAAAGGAGTCAGAGGAAAGTCACACATTTCCATGTCTCTAAAAGGGAAAAAGACAAAACAGCAGGAGTTTCATACACACACTGACAAAAATGGGCAAAAACCTATTTCCAACAATAGTTCCACTTAACTCATTTACGTTTCCTGCTCCCAGTAATGAGTATCATCTGGCTGTAGGTAAATGATACTTTATCCTAAAATTTTGAAGAAGAAATCTCAATCGATTTATATTGTCTTCATTCTAAAGCAATGGCCACCATGAGTGGACAAGAGCCACCAACAGCCCAGGGCACTGGACACCAGCAAAATCATGGGAGAATTTTGCCCATTGCCACCAGGGCTCAATCAAAAACAGGAGAAGTCAAAATACAAAAACCCAGCTCTGGTATAATTTCTAAGTACTAGTGCTGGTGCTACTGGGAGCTGATGGCTGGAAACAAGAAAGACAAGCATGAGCAAAGGTGACAGGAAAAGCCTGGGTCCTGGAGCCCAAAGGAGATAACTTCAAATCCGGCTCTTCCACTTTTATTAGCTGTGCAACCCTGAACAAGTGACCTACCTCTCTGAGCCTCAGTTTCTTCATCTGCAAAATGGGACTGACAATAGTGTCGACCTCCCAGGACAATCTATGCATGGTGCTTGGCACAGTGCGGGGTGCCTAGGAAGCACTTGGTAAATGGAAATTTTAAAATTCTTATTAACAGTAGTTAACAAATCAAGGTCTTGGACCAGCTGTGTGGAAGGACCCAAAAAGGATATTTAAAGGACCTGCAAAATGTCATGCATGCCACTCAATGTCCTAACCAAACAGGAACCCCGACAAGGAATGCTCGCCTCTGGACACCCCTTACAACTCCTAACTACAGCTCCTTTCTCACCCGAAGGTCCAGAGCACCCACGACATGTAAACCTCACCTTGGGGGGGCTCTCTCCTGAGACCCAGCCATCCCCTACTTCTTTATATATGCCCTCTTGGCTTTGTTTACTTATTCAACAAAATATTCCAGAGCATCTACTATGTGCACAAGACCAAGGACCTTGGAGAAGGCAAATCCTTCTAAGGCAACCTCCCTGCCCTCTAGGGGCTTCCAGTCTAGATTGGGAGGGATACCCCCACACAAAGGGACCACTGATGCTGCCGGGCAATAAAATATCAAAGGAGGTGGCAAGATGGGGAGGGCAATCAGAGGAGACTTCCTGGAGGCAGTGAGACCCAAGCTCAGCCTTAGGGACAGGATTCAGGAAGGCAGTGTGAAGGCAGGCAGCACGGGGAAGAGGGAGGGAGGCAACAGGTACAGAAGCAGGACGGGTTTGCCGGGTGGGGAGCGGCCCAGTCTGGAGGGGAAGGGGTTTGTGTTGGACATTTGTGGGAGAAACTTGATTCTGATGTTGAGACACTGACGTGGACTGAGAGGGAGCACAGAGGCGGACTCAGGCGGACCCTTCTGCTTCCAAACGTTCTCACAACCTGCACCTCGAGTCTGCAGGCTGCCACAACCAAAGAACAAACTCTGAGGAACTCAAAGAGCCTTCGGAACAATTAACTAGCAAGCCGGAAGTATTCCGCCACGAGTGGAAATCTATTTGAGTTCAACAATTAATTCAAGGTTAAACCAGCTGCTATAAGCGGCCAGGATCCAACTCTTATTTCATCCAGGCAGTATCTCTACAAATGATGCTGCTGCTGCTGCTGCAAGCAAACCAGAAGACATACCTAATTGTGCTTTGCAACTTTCTATCGTCTTGTCCAGGTTGAGCTGGAACCTGCTGCGGATCTGCCGCTTGGGGGAGATGAGCGGCACGGGCGTGGACTGCTGCTGGACCGACTCGCTCAGCTCCTTAAGATCCATCTCGGCCTTGCTCCGATCTGGAAGACACCAGCACACCCTCGTGAGCCCAGGCACCGGGCGGGGGAACAAACAATGCCCATCACTCACAGCTTCTGCCTTGCAGACACACGTCTTAGAACACCAGGGGAAAATCTTAAAACGTCTTTGTTGTTTGTCCCGGCAACATCACGTGCGCGACGACACGGGCTGACTTGGAGATAACAGCCCGAGAGAACACTTGGCAGGTTTACTCAGTCTACTGAACAATCGCCTGGGTGGCTTTCAATATTTAAAATGCACAATCCCAGCCAGATGGCTGACTGTGGAAGTCAGCATCATCAGGGATCTCGAAAGCCGAAGGTTGCAGTAAGGTGATCAATCTCAGTATGAGCCGAGAGTGACACTGAGTCTGGCCGGAGCGTGCTGTGAGCTCCAGGCCTGGGTGTGGGAGGGCGTGGATCCGAGAGCGCTGAGCCCCTCGGAGAACACGCTAACTGCGGGCCCCGGCTCCTCATTTATCAGGAGGCTTCGTGCTTCATCCTCAGTCGACCCGGCCTGGAGCTCCAATTAGAAAGGGCGGGAAAATCTAAGAGAGGCTGACCTTGCGGCCAGTCTGCTGCACCTCTCTCTGGCTCACAGCATCTATCTCAGAAAAGGTAAACAGACTGGCCCTGGATGGGAAATCTGCGTCTCCTCGCTCAGGTGAGACTCCAAGCTTCTCACCGGAATACCAGCAGAGGCCTCTGACTGATGACGCAGGCCCAGGGTCCTGCCCCAACTTCCGCCGCAGGCTCTCTGTATGGCCACCTGAACCAGATGCCAAAGTGTCCATGAGCTTGCATTCCTTAAACTCCTTCCCTACCTCCCCTGCTGCCTCCTCCAGGGCCCCAAAACAGAAGAAGAGGACAAAATGAGGTGGCTGCAGAGGCCCAGAAGGCAGGGAGCACTGACTTTCACGCTGCCTGCCACCCTCTGGCATCTCCTTCAATGGACCCCAAGCAGAGAATGTGAGGCATCTGCCCTACGCTGGCTGGTCCCACAAAGTCAGTCAGAAAGCTTGCAGCATCCATCAAGGACAAAGAGAAGAAGCCAGCTCTGCGCCTGCTCCCACCAGCTGTGTGCTCACTCCCTGACCTTCCTCCACCTCCCTGCTCTACCCACCCTGATGTACCCCTGCTGCCCACCCTCCCCCAGGACACAGGCCAAGAGCCGGCCTGCGGGGCTTTCACAGCCTCCATGCTCTCTCCTCGTTTCTTTCCGTTTTGTTTTCCAACATGACCCACACACCCTCCCCTTCACCCAGGAAGGGGCGTTCTCTTGCGCTGCACCTAGAGATTTGTTCCTTTAAAATGACCGGAGGTGGCCTCCCACAAACCCCACTGAACCCACTCAGAGGTGACCAGAGCAACAAATGGCTCCAACTTAATTCTATCACCATAATGAGGTCCCCACCAAGGTTAAGACTTGGAAGGGCCCTTTCCCAAAAACACACTCAGGGTTGCCCGCCAGGGCAATTCTGGAAGTGAGTGCTTCAAGGAAGCAGAGACAGCATCCTTGCCGTTCAAGAAAAGGCTCTAAAAAACATATCTGTGTATGTGTACGTGTGTGCGCACACGTGGACACGGTGCGTGCACGCATGACAATCAGAGGCTCCTCAGAGGGTCTACCAGGGCCAGGACTAAAGATGCTCTCAGAGAAGACGGTGGGAATGCACAGCCACTTGAGAGGCAGGAAGAACGTGCATGCAAATTGACGGGAGAAGCACCTTACAAAGAGAACAGAGAGTGAAATGGTGATAACACAGTAAGGGGAAGGAGGAGGGGGAGGAGGACCAGGGGGAGAAAAAGGAAGATCAGATTAAAGGGGAGCACAAGCAGGACTTAAGGACGTCAATGGCTGAGCTGCGGCTATGACAGCAAAAGGGGAAGGCCGTGAGGCCTGTCTCGTAATTTCTGCTTTCAGAAATGAGGAACATACTAGATTCCAGAGGGAAAAGGCAGCCTTTTCAAGCATAAAGTTGGAAAAGAAGCATCTCACAAAAATACTTTCCACGAAGGGGGCGGGGGGCTGCCCAGGCGATATGCTCACCAGGGTCCCCAACAACATCCCCATCTGGTTAATAGATTCCACACAGCACTTACTGAAACACACACTCTACTATACCAGGACGCAGCAAACTGTTTCTGTAAAGGGCCAGAGAGTCAATCAGGCTCTGTGGGCCACGTAGGCTCTGCTGCAAAAGCAGCCATAAATGGTATGTTAACAATGGGCGTGGCTGTGTTCCAATAAAACTTTATTTACACAAACAGGTGGAGGGCCAGATTTGGTCACAGGCTGCAAAATCTGCCATCCCCTGTGCTAGTTCAGTGACTACTAACCTCAGCTACGCACTGAAATTGGCTGTAGAGCTTTAAAAGAATCCTCATGCCTGGGCCCCACCCCCAGAGATTCTGAATTAACTGGCCTGGGGGAGGCCTGGACACTGGCCTTCAGAAAGTTCCCAGGTGAGTCTAATTGGCATTTCAGGCTGCAAACCTCTGCACTGGACCAATCTTCCACATGAGTACAGAAAACTCAGGATCTGCCTTAACCCTTGTGTATCTGTGTTAGCATCTCATAGGTCATAAGAAAGAGACCTTGGGGCCAGCCCTGTGGCAGAGTGGTTAAGTTCGCGCCTCCGCTGTGGTGGCCCAGGGTTTCACTGGTTCAGATCCTGGGCATGGACACGGCACCACTCATCAGGCCACATTGAGGCGGCGTCCCACATGCCACAACTAGAAGGACACACAACTAAAATATACAACTATGTACTGGGGGGCTTTGGGAGAAAAAGCAATTAAAAAAAAAAAGAAAGAGACCTTGCGGCCGGCCCGGTGGCACAGCAGTTAAGTGCACATGTTCTGCTCTGGCGGCCCGGGGTTCAGTGGTTTAGATCACAGGTGCAGACATGGCACCGCCTGGCACGCCATGCTGTGGTAGGCATCCCACATATAAAGTAGAGGAAGATGGGCACGGATGTTAGCTCAGGGCCAGGCTTCCTCAGCACAAAGAGGAGGATTGGCAGCAGATGTTAGCTCAGGGCTAATCTTCCTCAGAAAAAAATAAAATAAAAAATAAAGAGAGACCTACACCTCACCAGGATAACTGTGTGTGTGTGTGTACACCTGTGAATGTCTACAGAGAAGGCAATCTCAATTTTAGCCTAAAAAGACTGAACTTTGGAATATTCATAATCAAGAGGAATGAAAAGAAGGTAAAGCCCTTCATGTTACAAAATAAGGTTTCTCCCATCAATAAGCCACCGTAATGTTTATTCTAACAAGAAACCACCAAAAGCCAGGGGGCTGGGCTCACAACCTGGGAGCCGACCTTCAGGAGTTTAGCTAAATGAATTATCTTCTCACACTCTCAGCTGCTTTTTCACTCGCGACTCCTCCAGGGAGGAGAGAAGAGCTTCTCCTTCTCATTTAGCTCTAAGGAGCTGATGGGGCTTCTCCCTCCCCTGCCCGTCTATATCGGGAGTTTCTGCAGAACCCACCCTTGCTGCCAACATTTTGAACTTTTCAGCTGATATGAAGACAGCTTAGGCTATAAATGGAAACCATGGACAAAAAACACCCACGCTAGGGAAAGAGGCACGAGCTTACATTTCTGGAGGATGCGTAAATCAGCACAACCCCCTTACAGGGCAATTTGGCAGAATCTCTCAAAATGTCAGCCGCATGTGGCCTCTGACCGGCGATGCCACGTCTAGGAATTTATGCCAGGGATGTACTCCCTTGTGGGCAAAAGGGTCTTCACTGCAGCTGTTTTCAACAGCAAAAATGGAAAACAACTAAGTCAGTAAATAAGGTGCCTGGATAAATAAGTTAGAGTTCACCTCGAAATTGATTAAAATACAGCTGCTAGAATAAAACTGCAGCCGATCTTTATTGCTGATATAGAAAGGCAACCTGTTAAATGAAAAGAAGGTGACGGGGTCGGCCCGGTGGTGCAGTGGTTAAGTGCACATGTTCCGCTTCGGTGGCCTGGGGTCCGCCAGTTCAGATCCCGGGAACAGACATGGCACCACTTGGCACACCATGCTGTGGTAGGCGTCCCACATATAAAGTAGAGGAAGATGAGCATGGATGTTAGCTCAGGGCCAGCATTCCTCAGCAAAAAGAGGAGAATTGGCAGCAGTTAGCTCGGGGCCAATCTTCCTCAAATAAAAAAAAAAAGACGAAAGAAAAAGAAGGTGACACTTGGTAGAGCACATTAGCATTGGTGTGGAGGAGAAAAGAAGGAAGTGGAACATAGATACGGATATCTGTGCTCCTGGGGTTTCTCAACGTCAGCACTACCGACATTTGAGGCTGGCTAAGTCTTCGCTGGCGGGGGCAGAGCCTGTCCCGTGCAGTGTAGGGTGTTGAGCAGCATCCCTGGTTTAGCATCCCTGGCCTGCTAGATGCCAGGAGCACCAAAATCCCAGTTGTGACAATGAAAATGTCTCCAGACACTGCCAAATGTCCCCTGGGAGACAAAAATCACCCAGGGTGAGGACCCCTGGTATTGATCTAGAAGCTCTCCAAGGAGACTAAAAGAGGCAACAGCAGCCACCTGTGGGGACGGGGCACACAGGCAGGGGATTGGGGCTTACAGACAGACTGGCTTTTCATTAAATGTCTTTCTGGACTTTGGAATTTCTCTTACCATGTGCCTTCATTACTTATAAAAACAAAAAAACTTTAAAAAAAAAATATTAGCACTTCTTTTTCAGTTAAAAAAAGTCAGTCTCCTTTGTTCAAAAGCCGTCGGCAGACTATAACGGATGGACATCCAGGAGCCACAACATGGCAGCTCCTTCAAAGGAACAATGTCCTTCAGACAAGACACACTGGCAGATGCTGTCTTACCAATCACAGCCAAGCAGAGACGTTCCTCACCTCACTCACCGTAAACAAAAAACAAACAAGACACAAGACAACACCTGGGAACCCTGGGCGCCCAGCTCTGCGTCCACTCTCAAAGAAAGTCTGCCTTTCAAAGTGCGGCTTTATTCAGAGAAGGAAAGCAGGCCTCCCGTCAGCAACTCAGCAACTCGAGAGGAATACAAGGCGCAAGGCCCCGCGTGTGACAACTCCCCATTGCTGTCTCGGCATCTCTGACGAGCATCAAGGCACGTTCTTGACACTAACAGGACTACTGAACTGCCGCATCTGTTCAGCCCAAAGCAACGGCCTCTGTGAGATAAGAGGAGGTAAGAGGATTCGCAGAGAAAGCAAAGAGGAGTCTAGAAGAAGAATGAATCAGGCCCTCCCCTCTCTGCTAGTCTCATGAACTCATTCTTACTCATGACATTTCTAACTGCTGGAGTCACGGAAGGGGGCCGGAACAATCCACCTTGTTTCAGAGCAAAGAGGAGAGGTCCAGGACAGCAGGTGAGCGGCCCGTGCCTCAGCCAGCAGGGCGACAACGGTCTGTGTCATGCACCAAAATTAATTATGAGTAAAGTATCCAGCTGAGGACCCATGGGCCGGTTTTTGTATTTTTGACTGTATTTGTTTGTGTGGCCCCAAGTAGAATTTTTGTTTGTAATGAAATTGATGCCAAATTTTAAAAATTAGGATCGTTCACATAAAAATCTGGATTTCTGTTTTTCTTGAAAACTCAGAGTCTGACAACACAGGTGCACAACTGGTGGGAGCTGCTTCTTTCAGAAAAGCACTTTGACCTCCCCGTGATGGCCCCTTCCGAATCTGCACCTTACCCGCTGACCCCAAGGGCCCGTGAAAGGCAAAACACGGCCCCGCCTTGTAGCATTCCAGCTCCTGCATCCGGGTGAGGAGCCCATGCTACGCAGCAAGCACACAGGCCTGAGTCTAAAAGCCAAACTTTACCGCAAAACACGTGTGACCCTGGGTCGCTAACCTGGCTTCTCTCCGCCTGTTTCCACTTCTTTGAAATGGGCTCCTATTACCTACCCTGAAGGTTGCTGTCGTTTTTTAACAGTTTTCATTTACAGGGAGTAAAACTCACGTTTTGGGGAATACAGCCCTGTGAGTTTTGACACCTACCTGGATGCATGTAACCACCACCACCACAAACAGAACGCGGAACAGCTCCACCTGCCAGACAGCCCTCCTCAGTCTGTGGTTAACCCTCCCCCAGCCCCAACCCCAGCAATCACGGCTGTGTTCTCCATCTCTATAATGTTCCAGTTATTCCTTTTAATGAAATACTGTTTTGTAATGTCAGCATTATCCCTGACACTCTGTCTCGTTTCTGTCTGCTCAGAGTAGTTACACGGATGCCAGGCATCATCGAGCCACATAAAGCCTTTGCCCCATCTCTGGGCAAGCCCTGGAGAATTATTTAGCATTTCCCTCCACTTGGCAAAATTTCTACCCACCCATGGCCCTTTTCACCAGTCCCTATCTGATCTTCTTGCTATCAGGTAATTAAAATCCCAGCCCTTAAAAGGCCCACACTCCCACCGCTTTCATTCCCACCAACAAAACCAGGCGGGTGACCAGGAGGGGAAAAAGCTGTCAGGGAGCTTCCACACGGAGGAGTCTCGGGTCCCGCCAAGGCCACCCGCCGGGACACGCAGCAGGAAGAGCGCTCTCGTGCCCACCGTGGGTCCAGACAAACAGAAAGACCCCCAGCACCACGAGGATGCCCAGGGACGCCCGGTCTAGGAAAGGAGCTATTCTCGCCACACGTGACTGGCAGAGAGGAAGCACGACCGTGAGAACGCCCCCGCAAAGCGATTCCTTTCAGGGTGGAGGTGGGAGAAGGGTATGAGAAAGCAAATCACTGCTGAGAACACAAGTGTTCCCCAGGCCAGCAAAAGAGTTCCGTTTTGTTCAAGTGAGGAAGCCTGGCTGCCCCATCACAGCCAGGCTGCACGAACAGCGGACCCAGGGGGACAAGACGCTGGCCTTCCTGGAGACACAGGCTCGCTCCAGTCCTGCCACCTTCTGGTTCTGCAATCCTGGGCACCTGGAGCTCCCCTCTAGGCCTCAGGTTCTCCATCTGACAATGAGACTGCAGGACAAGATGAACCAGGAGGGCACTGACCACCAGACGCTGTGAACTCATGCTCGAGCATCCCTCCACACAGGTGGCCGGCCCTCCCTTCCTAAAACCCCGTATACTCAGGCCCCCGGGACAACACATGCCCCTAGTCTCGCTTTGTCCTTGTCCACTGCTCGTTTCCAGCCTCCTTGCTCACTTCTCCTCTTCTTGAAGTCTACCTGCTCACAAGGACCAGGCCCTCACTCTTTCTTTATGCTCCACACCAGGGTCTCTCAACCTCAACCCTACTCCCATTGAGGCCGGATCATTCTCTGTGGTGGGGCCGTCCTGTGCATTGTAGGATGTTCAGCAGCGTCCCCCACAGGCCCCTGTTGGGAGAACTCCTGCTCTAACTCAACCTTATACATGAATCAAGATCCCCAGAATTACACCTCCTGCCCCGGCCTGGCCCCAGGACATCCTGCCTCTTTCTCCAGCTGCCCTCGTGACCTCTCCACTTACCAGTCCAGCAGGCATCTCAAACTTACAGAATCTAAAACTGAACTCTTGGCTCCTATTTCTCCTGCCATTAACCAAATCTGCCAAGACAGTTATTGGCACAACCCAGTAATCTTCGTTGTGGGGACCAGTTCTACGTACTGTACCCACTAGATGCCAGTAGCAACCGTGCCCCCAAGTTCTGACAACCAAAACTGTCTCTAGACATTGCTAAGTGTTCCCTAGGGGTACACGGACGACTGCCCCCAGCTGCAAACGTCTGGCAAAGGCCATTCTCAACCAGCACTCGGCGAGATCCTCCTGAAATGCTACCTCAGTTCACATGCCTCCTCTGCTCAAACGGCTCCACACCCGAGCCCACTAGGTCCTGTGCTCTGACCTCATCTCCTAACCTCTCCCCATCACCCACCGGGTGGGTGATGAACACACCAAGTTCATCTTGACCCTAGGGCTTTTAATTTCCTTGTCCCTTCTAGAATTTTCTTCCTCCTGATGCTAGCATGGTTGGTTTTTCCCATCATGCAAATCTCTGCTCAAATATCACCTCCTCAGAGGCCTTCTTCCCTAACCAGCGTCTCTTGGCCACCACACCCATCCCTTATGACATTAACACATTTTCCCTTCTGTGATGGCATGAACTGTCTTGTTTATCTACCTTGATTACTGTCGCTCCCCCTCTAGAACCAACCTCCATGAGAACAGGGCCCTTGCTCACCACTTTCCGCTCCATGCCTAGAAAGGACACAGCACAGAATAGATGCTCAGTAAAAATCAGGGCTCAGGATGGAATGAATCAATAAAATAACTTCACAGTTGGCTAGTTAGCATTTCTGGTGCCAATTTTTGCTGAAGACTTTGGCCGAAGGTAGTGCTTTTAAAACAACCAAGTGAAACCCAATGGGTAAAAAACAAACAAAAAAACCTACTAAGTCAGAGGATGAAGAGCAGCATTAAAAAAATTAGGGGCCAGCCCGGGGGCACAGTGCTTGAGTTCGCACATTCTGCTTTGGCGGCCCAGGGTTCGCCGGTTTGGATCCCAGGTGTGGACATGGCACCGCTTGGCAAGCCATGCTGTGGTAGGCGTCCCACATATAAAGGAGAGGAAGATGGGCACGGATGTTAGCTCAGGGCCAGTCTTCCTCAGCAAAAAAGAGGAGGATTGGCAGCAGATGTTAGCTCAGGGCTAATCTTCCTCAAAAAAAAAAAAAATTAGAAGAGAATTAAGGAAACAATACATCAGAATATACTGCACATAGGAAAGGTCAATACTGATTCATAAAATTTGATATGTATCATGTTTGTGTGTGTGTGTGTAACTCTAAATATGCATATATTTACGTACAGAAGAACTGGGTGACAGTAGTCAAGGGCAAGTAAGACTGTAAACAGTGGCCTAACGTCCTTCAAATAAACAACTCGGCATGCCAACCAGCGCCAGGAAATCCCTTACTTGTTCCTTTTCCTGATCTCTCGTCATCTTCATCCACTGTACCTTCTAGCAGTTTGTACAGAGAAAAGAGTTCAGAGTTCAAGAACCACACACAAAAGACAACATCACAACCTGCAAAAATGTTCACACTTGCCACAGAAAGAGACTTCCAAAGATTCCAACTGACCCAGGTTAAGATTCAGGATGCTTCCGGTGGTGGACGTTTTATCCGTTTTCGTCGTGATCGGCGCTGCTGCTTGAGGAGAGAAAGGTTTCGGGCTGCCAGATAAACTTCCTGCTTGTCCTGTCTTCGTGGAGGCTGGTGAAGCTGAAAAAGTAGGTTAATTGTTAAAAGACAAATTTACAAATAAATACACAAATAAAACTTGTGGGTGTGGGCAGGGGGAGAGAAGAGAAATTGTATTTGATTTCAGCGAGGCCAGCAAGGACCACAGAGCAGGTGGAGCAGGAAGGGCTGGCCATTTATTTCCAGCAAAGGGCTGTAACCCAATGTGCAGCGGTTACAGCCACAGAGGAAGAGGCTCCCCAGTCATTCTATCAGACGCAAAGCTCTAAGACAAATCGGCTAAGCCGCCACTGAAATTGGTTTGGCCCATTCACGGGTGTAAATCTCACAATAAACACCGATTAAAACCAGCCTCCACCACGGTCCAGATGCAGAGACCGGAGCCAGGCTTCCACATGGCATGTCATCCGTTGGTGGGACACACAAGGGCCGGCTCACTCAGCTACTGCACCTGCCGGAGGCCAACTCGAGCCCTTGGGAGATCGCGGGCTTCCCATTTCAAAGGTCCTGCAGCACTGAATGAACCAACTTGGCACCAGAGCGCCAGGCAGTAAAGGGACGGTGGTAATTACCTCCCTGCTTACTGCCTTTCAGACTTTCACAGGAGGACAGAGAGCCGTACCTATGGCTGGGTCTTTTAAAAATGCGTTAAAACTACCCACATAATGCTCCCCTGAGCCTCGTCCACTGGCTGGGGGAGAGAGGACAGAAACCAAACTACTGAACAAAACCAAGTGTTCAGATGGGCCACCCGGAGCCTCCTGGAGATCCTTCAGACCCGCCCCTTTGCCTAAAGGGCTCCACATTCTTGGGACCATACTGTTACCAAACGCACGACAGGCAACAAAATGGCCAGCTCTCCTCAGATGCACAAGAAACTTGACTCTGAGGCGATCTGGTCCTTAAAGCTGTGTGTGGCAAAGGGGTCAGGAATTCAGACTTCCTGGGATTTCAAAGTGCTGACACTTCATTGGGTGCTCGCCTCGGTTTCTCTACCTGCCAAATGGGGGTACTGATAGTGAGGATTCAATGGGTGGAACCTGTACACCAGCTCAGCCAGTCAATATACATGAGCAAACCTCAGGACCTGCCAACACTACTTTAAATGTAACAGAGCAGGAAAGACTGTAGACCTGGAGAGAAGCAGATTCAAGCACAGATGGGGAGCCAGGCGCTGGATTCAAACCTCAGCTCTGCTGATCACTTGCTGTGTGACCTTGGGCAAGTTACCTGACGTCTCTGAATCTCCTTTCCTGGTAGCCACAAAGAGGGATACTGATAATACAAAAGGATGGATGAAAGTACCTGCCTCATGAAGCTGTAAGGACCAAATAAATGAAGCAATCATCTAACAGTGCCTGGCATCTATTAAGTGCAATATTACTGTTTGCTATTAGTGCAGTATTATTTTGTATTTCCCAATTAATCTCCAGGGTTTTGGTTTCAATCATCTAAACCAGTGGTTCTCGGCCAGGAGGGACTCTGCCCCCGGGGCACGTTGCACAACGTCTGCAGACATTTTTGGTTGTCACACTCGGGGAGGGGGGTCCTCCTGGCATCTAGTAGGCAGAGACCAGGGATGCTGCTCAACATCCTACAATGCACAGCTCCCCACAACAAATAACTATCTTTGGCCCCAAATGTAACAGGGCTGAGGTTGGTAACTCCACAAAGGGATGATGCAGGCGTGTCTCTGGGCATCCCTGACCTCACCTGCCAATGAGGAGAGGAGGTGGGATGAGAGGAGCCAATCCACGCCAACCGGTGCTTAGCAAGTGCTCAACAAACGTAAGAATTTTTTTTTTTTTTTGAGGAAGATTAGCCCTGAGCTAACGTCTGCTGCCAATCCTCCTCTTTTTGCTGAGGAAGACTGGCCCTGAGCTAGCATCCGTGCCCATCTTCCTCTCCTTTCTATGTGGGACGCCTGCCACAGCATGGCTTGCCAAGCGGTGCCATATCTGCACCCAGGATGCGAATCAGGGAACCCCAGGCCACCGAAGTGGAACATGCGCACTTAACTGCTGCGCCACCAGGCCGGCCCCAGAAATTATTTTGAAGAAATGAGTTTTACTGTAAGGTTTAGCAAATGCCTGGCCCAGCATACAACATTCTCGCAACTGAGGGCTGTTATTATAATTACTGTTCCTACCACTGATACCATAACTTGTCCACAAAGAAACAAGAATAAAGACAAAGCCATTTCAAAAAATTTAAGTATCACTTGGGGCTGGCCCCGTGGCCGAGTGGTTAAGTTCGCGCGCTCCGCTGCAGGCGGCCCAGTGTTTCGTTGGTTCGAATCCTGGGCGCGGACATGGCACTGCTCATCAGACCACGCTGAGGCAGCGTCCCACATGCCACAACTAGAAGAACCCACAATGAAGAATACACAACTATGTACCGGGGGGGCTTTGGGGAGAAAAAGGAAAAAATAAAATCTTTAAAAAAAAAAAAAAAAAATTTAAGTATCACCAAGAAAATCTTTAGTATTAGGAATTTTTTTTTTTATTATTCACTCATTTATGTTTTACCTGTTTCCAGGAGATCTGCAGTGGCTGAAAACATGGGTGTCATGCATTGCCTGCGAGGATTAAAGACCAGGGCCTTTCTGATTGTGTTCTCTTTAGCAAATGAGCAGCAGGTGTCGGAGGGAGGGTCTCACATCATCAGAAGTGCCGCCTGGGGGAGTGCAGGGACCTTGGACACCGAAGCCCGACCCTCCACGTGCAGAAAGAGAACCACGTGGACGTGCTGTTGCACACAGAACCCAACCACGCGAGTCACATCTGCCTGCCTCATGGGTCATGTTAGAAAAGTAAAAAGGCGAGGCCGGCAGGTGGTCTAGCCGAGCCCTGGCCCACGTGTCCTGCAGGGGACTTTAGCAAGAACACAGGGAAAATCATTATTTTTATAATGCTGCATATATATATTCATCTGTAGTTTAAAAAGAATAATTGGGGGGCTGGCTCCATGGCCGAGTGGTTAAGTTCATGCGCTCCGCTGCGGCGGCCCAGGGTTTCGCAGGTTCGGATCCTGGGCGCGGACATGGCACCACTCATCAGGCCATGCTGAGGTGGCGTCCCACATGCCACAACTAGAAGGACCCACAACTAAAAAATATACAACTATGTACTGAGGGGATTTGGGGAGACAAAAAAAGCAGAAAAAAAGAAGGATAATTGGAACAATGACTCTTTAATTTCACAAACATATAAAGTTTCCTTTGTTAATAAAACTTAAGTATTGATGGTTTAAGAAATACGTTCTAAATTTTTTAAAAGTTTTTTTTTTTTTAAGATTTTATTTTTCCCTTTTTCTCCCCAAAGCCCCCCAGTACATAGTTGTACATTCTTCGTTGTGGGTCCTTCTAGTTGTGGCATGTGGGACGCTGCCTCAGCGTGGTTTGATGAGCAGTGTCATGTCCGCGCCCAGGATTCGAACCAACGAAACACTGGGCCGCCTGCAGCGGAGCGCACGAACTTAACCACTCAGCCACGGGGCCAGCCCAAAAAACTTTTTTTAACATAGCCCTTGGATATGGCAAGAATAAGAGCACACTGGTTTCCGGTGCAGACGGGTCTGGTGCCCTCTCCATGCGGCCAGCAGAGGGCAGGGACCACCCTCACAGGCATCTAGGATGCAGGGCTTCAAAGGGACAGCAGCTCGGGGTCACCTACAAGCCCGGGTCCCACACTGCCAAGCTCTCCTCTGAGAAGGCGATGGCCCATGCCCACCCCTGACTGCCACCCGCCCCACCTCCCCCATTTGTGGAAGACCCTCTACCTGCCTCGACCTCCCCATTATCAGTTAATGCTATAACACTCACCCGGTTGTTCAAGGCCCACCACATCTAGACTGCCTCAATTCCTCCTTTGCTCCCCTGCCTCAACTTACCCTACTCTTCAGCAAGGCGTCTGCACTCCACTTCCAAAATACATCCCCAACCTCACCACCGCTCTCCCTCTCCACCAACATCACCCGCGTCCGCACATTCTCCACGGGGGCAGCATGGCCACAGGGGCAAAAGGGAGTTCTTAGGGCGTGAAACTAAAAGCTCACTCTTTTCATGTCTAAAGCACAGATACACATGCAGCACAAAAACAGATACTACTTTTCAATTTCATGAGGGTCCGCTGCCAGGGACACACCAAAAAGAACCGAAACTGGACACTGCTCAAACGAATCCTACACATGAGCGTTCGCAGCAGCACCGTCGCAGCAGCCCGAAGCGGGGAACAACCCACGTGCCCATCCATGGATAGACAGACTGTGGTAGCTCCACAATGGGACGCTACTGAGCCAGAAAAAGGAAAGACCTTCTGAAGCATCGCAGATGACCTTGAACTCATTATGCTAAGGAGCCGGACCCAAAGGTCAGATTTGGCATGAGTTCACGCCAATCAGATATCCAGAATAGGTAAATCTATACAAATAGAATGCAGACTGATGGCTGCCAGGGGCGAGTGGTGCAGCACAGACAGGGGTGGTGGGGAGCGGCTGCTGATTGGGTACAGCGTTTTATTTTCAGTGATGGAAATGTTTTGGGACTAGATAACGGTGGTGGTTGCACAACATTGTGAATGTACTAAATGCCACTGACCACTGAACTGTTTACTTTAAAATGGTTAACTTTATGCTAGGTGAATTTCACCTCCATTTAAAAAAAAATTTCATGGGAGGACAATTAGGAAGAAAACATCTAAAATGGCTCCTTAGCGGAGAAAAATGAAAAAAAAAGGTTGAAAAACACGCCCTTGCCCATCATGTCCCATTGAGACCCTGGAAGAGCATCCCACGGCCCCCTGGCGTCTGCCACAGCATCCCGCGCCCGAGGACCCTCGCTCGGCAGCCAGGAAGGCACCGTAACACGGAAATGACAGTACTTCACTCCCCATCTAACACCATCCGAAGGCGTCCCATTCCCCAGAAGAAACACAACTGCACGGCCGACCTTTCCTTGCCTCACTCTGGAATCTCCAGCCGCACTGACCCTTGTGCTGTTCCTCCCAGATCAAGTCTGCTCC